AAGTTGTACCTGAAACCCGAAAAGTGCGAGTTCGAACGCACAGAAATCGAATATCTGGGTGTCATTATTGGGCACAATTCGATGCGGATGGATCCAGTCAAGATCAAGGGCGTGATGGAATGGCCAGAACCAAAGAGCGTCAAACAGGTCCAAGCCTTCCTCGGATTCACAAACTTCTATCGCCGCTTCGTTCGGGGATATGCGGAGGTAGCCAAGCCGTTGACACGGCTGACAGGGAAGGCAGGATGGTCATGGGGTACAGATGAGCGCGCAGCATTTGATGGATTAAAGAAGAGAATCGCGGAGGATGCGGTCCTAGCACTGCCAAATGACACCGGCCAATATCGTCTGGAAGCCGATGCTTTGGAAGGGGCAACAGGATCCGTTTTGAGCCAAAATCAAGACGGCATTTGGCGCCCAATCGCATTTATTTCGCACGCATTGACTGAAACCGAGCGAAATTATGAGATCTACGACAAGGAAATGCTCGCCATCATGCTATCATTAGACGAATGGAGGCAATTACTGCTGGGGGCCACGGAAACGTTTGAAATCTTCACCGATCATTAGAATCTCGAGTACTTCCGAAAACCGCAGAAACTCAACCGACGGCAAGCACGATGGATCACGGAGCTAGTGGAGTTTGATTTCACCCTACGACACCGACCCGGCGCACTCAACCGCAAGGCGGATCTCCTATCTCGACAAGCGGATCACGATCAGGGCAAAAACGACAACAAGGACGTCACGTTACTGAAGCCTGAGTTCTTCCGATCACAAGAAGTCACATTTGAAGGGCAGGATCAACAGCTAATCGATGAGATCAAGGCCCTTCGATCGATTGACGGGAGCGTCAAAGCGGCCTTGGAGAAGTCACTCGTCGGATGGAAGAAGGAAGATGGGCTCATCACGTATCACGAGAAGCTCTATGTGCCAAGGGATGAGGAGCTGCGGGACAAGATCATTGGGCTACACCACGACACACCCCTGGTCGGACATGCAGGGATCAACCGAACGCAGGAGATGGTGGAAAGGAACTACTGGTGGCCAAGGATGGGGAACCAAATTCGGAAATACATCCAGACGTGCGAGGCATGCCAACGGACCAAGACCAGAAGGGCAAGAACGGGGACCCTACACCCGCATGCGGTTCCAAACGCACCATGGGAAATCATCTCCATGGATCAAATCGGACCCCTACCGGTCAGTAACGGGTATGATGCAATCCATGTGTGGTGTGACACCTTCACCAAAATGATCCATGTCGAACCCATTAGTACTGACATCAGCAGCGAAGGAGTAGCACGGTTGACAAGGGACCGGGTTTTCCGTTATCACGGGATCCCTCGCAAAATCATCACCGATAGGGACTCACGATACATCAAGGGCTTCATGAGGGAGACGAACCGGATGTTGGGCGTGGAGATGAACCCGGGGACCGCATATCACCCGATCATGGATGGGCAAACCGAGCGCATGAATCAGGAGATCGAGCACTATCTCCGCATATACGTCAACTACCATCAGACGGACTGGTCGGAGTGGCTGGGAATGGTGGAATTCGCATATAACAACAAAATGAACACGTCTACCAAAATATCACCATTCTACGCCAATCATGGATATCACCCATGGAAGGGAGTAGAGCAGCGGATGGAATCGAGAAACGAGTCGGCGGAGGAATTTGTAAAAAGAATCAAAGAGATACAAGACGAAGCAAAAGCAGCATTGGAAAAAGCAAAAGAAAAAATGAAAAAATACTACGATAAACAAAGAAAAGAAGTTCCGGAGTTGAAGGTTGGGATGAAAGTGTACATAGAAGGGGAAAATATCGAGACGGACAGACCATCGAAGAAGATGAGCGACAAGAGATTGGGACCATACGAGATACTGGAGAAGGTTGGAGCGGCCGCATGGAAGCTGAATCTACCGGATACGGACCGAAGACACCCCGTGTTCAACGAATCACTGTTGACACCCTATCACGAACCACCCCCCCATCGCCGAGAGAAGAGACCCGTAGCCAAGATGATCGGAGGAGCAGAGGAGTGGGAAGTCGAAGAAATCGTGAAAGAGCGAAAAGTCGGCCGAGGAAAACAGTACTTGGTCAAATGGAAGGGATGGCCGCACAGCGAGAACACCTGGGAACCATCACGTCACCTTACCCACGCGAAGGACGTCCTGAGAGACTGGCAGAGGAAACAATCCAACCCAGACACACGCATTCGCCTCCTACCAACTCTCGAAGCTGGACACTGGGACTATCTTATTCATCGCTATAAACCCAGAGATGAGCGCCTCCCATATCCCCAACGACAACTCTTCGACCCTTACGAGAACGTCTTCACGCCCATTGGCCTAGTCGATGAGGACATCGACCCTAGAGAGGGGGTAATGTCATAGTTCGGCCACTTTTTCATCTTATCTTCGACGATCTTATCTTATCTCGGCACGGCTTATCTTATCACGGATCACGGCATCAGACGGCCCGGGCTAGGGGTTCGAGGGATTATCCTTATCGATTCAAGGCTGCGCGACATATGCTCCGGGAGGTTCTACTACAACCCATGACCAGTGCTCCATGCGGTACATAGCCTTATGACTCATTAGTTGTAGATATGACTCAGACTGGATTTGGGTATAAATACTGTAGCTACCTGGTTGTATTCTCCAGTCTTCGAATTCACTTCTCTTTTCGACTTTGTTTTTGGGTTGATTGTCACACCTGCCCCTCATTGGCCTTCCCCTTGCTGCGCATTTTTCTGATCCTGCCTGATCTCTATTCTGCCGCCATCTACCACCATCTGCCACCCCCAGAACCACTATTTCAACCTCATCCACCACTACTATACTGTACAACCATGTTGGAGGAAGAGATTGGAATGGATTAGCCAGATCTTAGGTGAAGATGTTGGGGAGGGTGTCAGATGTTGAGGATGGGTTTTGAACTTGATCACTCTCTAGTGATTGGGTCACAATGATTACCTGATTCCGTCTGATCGAATCACTGATGATATCTGATTCCATCACTGTTCCTATCATTCCATCATTCTGGTCACATAATTCCTGTACAGTCACATACTCCATCCACATAGATAGTTCCTCCCTCCCTGGAGTTCCTCAGCTTCTTACTGTTGACTCCAGGCACTCCGGCAGATTGCAAATATGAGGAGGCATAAAGAATGATTTATATGGCAGATATTGTACCATACAAAAATGTTGTAAATAGTGTAATTAAAATCTAATCTATAATGTCATCATAAAGAGTTCCCATTTTGTCAACTATTGGAGCATAAAATGCACTTCCAGATACTTGACATATTGTAGCCCATTTTATTCAACTTATTCATATAAAACATTTGTTGAATATCAGAGCCGCTTATGGGGTAACAAAAAGTGGCAATATAACCAGCCACGTTTTGGACCGCAATATGAGCTAAAAAAAAGTTCGCAATAGGCAGCTATAATATTAGTACTATTGCGGCCCATATTTGGGCCGCACTGATATCACAGATATCGCAGTTAGGGTAATGTATTGGCAGATGATCCACCGATGATCTGCCGCTGGTCTGATGCTCATCCACCGGGCCGAGACATCAATGAGGCGTGAGAGCAAAGATGTATATGTTGGAGTTGGGAATCCCAGCACCAAGGCAGAATAGCTCAGTGGTTAGAGCACTGGACAATCCAAGTCAGAGGTCCCAGGTTCAATTCCTGGTTCAGCCATTTTATCAACAGTATATACACTTGAGTTACAACGGAGATAGATACAGGCTATGCTACAGGGCACTTTCACTTCACATTGGTCAAATAGTCATCACAAACAGTGTCAAGGTTCTTGGCTATTTGCCCAACAGAGTTGTATCCGCGGATTCTGTGCTTCCAGCGCGAGTTGTTGAGAACGAGCTGTTGAGGATGGGTTTTGGACTTGATCACTCTCTGGTGATTGGGTCACATGATCATCTGATTCCATCTGATCCTATCACTGATCACATCACTGATGGTATCTGATTCCATCACTGTTCCCATCATTCCATCATTCTGGTCACATAACTCCAAGTCACATGATTCCTATACAGTCACATGCTCCATCTACATAGATAGTTCTTGCCTTCCTGGAGTTCTTCAGCTTCTTACTGTTGACTCCAGGTCTGTAGATTCTTTTCTTGTCTTGTCTTGCAATGCAGAGCTTCTTACTGTTGACTCCAGTCCTCTCTGCATTTCCTGCTTCAACAGGTTATGGGCCCCTGCCTCTAGAGTGCCTCTGAGTCATCTATTCTGAGATTTTCGAGTTTTTTCCATTCTCTGATTTTCTCTGCCTGCTGCTGCCTGCTTGCCCCAGTCCTGCTACTGCAGTTGACATCTCTGCTCCCCTCCGTCTGTTTTTTTTTCTGCTCTTATAGTGTCTGTGGTTCAGGCACTAGTAGTTGGGACTCTATCCTTAAGTGGGTGTGCTCTCTGGTCCATCAGGAAACACCAGGTAGTCATTCCTGTGATCCTGAGGTTGAGACAGCTAGGTGCCTGAGATCAACACACTCCTGAGAGCCTGTACCTACCTACATACATCCCCTACATCATTCTGGGCGCATTTTTGAGCACAGCATGGCATCAGATTCCCACACTCTTCTCCCAGTTCTCCATAAGGAAACTGTCTTCTCTGATTGGCAGAGTGATGCCAAGGCCTATCTCAGAGGCAAAGAGGTGTTTGTGTACTGCACTGCCACCTTTGATGCAGCCAAGCATGAGGAAGTCAAGAAGGACAAGTGTGCTGGCATCTTGTGGAGCATGCTCTCCCCTGATGTTAGGTCCCTAGTGCGTCAGCATGAGGATGATCCCAAGGCCTTATGGGCTGCATTGCCTTCAATCTTTGCACCCAAGCAGGCTGGGCAGCGCTTCAATGCCTATAAAAACCTTACCTCCATCAGACTCAAGGAGGGTGAGGGCTTGCTAAGCCTTGTGGGTCGTGTATCTGAGGCTGTGCGCTTCCTCAAAAGCTCTAGGCCTGATTCCTTCACACTGGATAAGGCTGATGAAGAGCTGCATGCTGTGGTTCTCCTCATGGCCTTGCCTGATTCTGAGCCTGCTTATGCAACTCTGAAGGCTCCCTTTGAGCAATCCCATGATGCTCTCAAGGTGGCTGCCATTGAACAGGCCTTTACCTCATGGTCTGCTTTCAGGGCAGCAGGCAATGCAGGAGACTCTGGGCAGAGCAATCCTCTGTCTGGAGCTGCAATGATCACTTCTGCCAATCCTCCTTCTGCTGCACTGGAGGCTGCATCTGGTCCCTCCCAGCCTTGGTGTGCTGCGTGTCAAAAGCGTGGTCACACTATTTTGAAGTGTCCAGAGTTCCTTGCACTTCTCAAGGGCAATACTCCCAGGGCTGGGAATGGAAAAGGAGCAGCCAAGTCCGAAGTGGCCACCAATGCAAGTCTTCTCTCTCACACAACTTCCAGTACTGATTTGCGATGGATAGCAGACTCAGGCGCCACATCGCACATGACGCATTGTGTGCACCTGCTGCAAAATACACGCCCTCATAGGGCGCCCATCAAAGTCGCAAATGGAGTTGTTGTTTATTCCGAACTTGTGGGGGAGATAGTACTTAGGCCACTTATCCATGGACAGTCCAGTAGCCAGTCTGTTATTCTCACGAATGTCTTGTTTGTTCCTGCTTTGTCTCACAATCTGATCTCCACTACATACCTGTCAGTTCACCATGACTACACTGTGCTCATGAAGGAAAACTACATCCTGTTCAAGCGCAATGGTGAAGTGTACTTTGTGGCAGACATCTCAGAGCAGGGTCAGGCATTTGTGAGAGAGACTGGTTTCCCTTCTGCTGGTTCAGCACTGGTCTCTACAGCTGGGACTCTTCCCATTGACCTCAGCCTGATGCACAGGCGGCTTGGACACCACAGTGATACCAAGCTAGTCATGGATAAAGAGCTAGTTACTGGTGTGAGGCTTGCCTCTCCTAGGAAGCCAGACCCCATCTGTGAGCCATGCCTCTTTGGCAAGCTGAATGCTGGCCTGTTTCCTTCAACTGGTCATCGTTCTGGAGCGCCTCTTGATCTTATTCACTCTGATCTAAAGAGCTACTCTGTGCCTACCCGTGAGGGCTGGAAACACAGGGTGACTTTTGTTGATGATCACACTGGCTTCAAGGTAGCATACCACATGAAGAACAAGAGTGAGACCTTTGCAGCCCTTAAGATGTTTCAAGCGTATGCTGAGACTCACTGGGGGCTGAAGATCAAAGCATTTCAGGACGATAAAGGGGGAGAGTACATGTCTAATGAGTTCAGAGCACATCTGGACAAGTGTGGCATTGTGCACCGCCATTCAGTCAGGGCACGGCCTCAGCAGAATGGGACAGCAGAGCAGTCTAACCGCACCGTTGATGAGCACTCGACTGCCATGTTACACGAAGCCAACCTGCCCCCTGCATTCAGGGCACTGGCGGTGTCTGCATACATCCATGTGTGCAACATGCACCCCACAGCTCGAGACCCCACCAGGACTCCCCATGAGCTGTGGTTCAAGGCAAAGCCTGATGTGTCTCATCTTCGTGTTTGGGGATGCCTTGCCTATGTGCATGTGCAAAGAGACAAGAGAGGTCCTTCTGGGCATCATGTCCAGAAGTGTATCTTTGTAGGCTATCCTGCAGGGTACAAGGGATGGTTGTTCTTCAACCCAGAGACTCGGAAACTTGTGATCGCTGAGAGAGCACTGTTTGATGAGCGCTACTTCCCAGGCAGTACCCCTCAAGCTATGAGGAGCTGTCCTGCTGCACCCCCCTCCTCCATGCTGGTGGATCCCCCTCGTGCTCTGGCACCGGTGTATGTCCCTGATGACGATGGTGATGATGAGCAGCAACAGCCGCCTGCTCGTCCTCTCCCTGCACCTCGAATTCCCTCTCCTGCAGCCAGCAGTGATGATGAAATCGACTTCTTGCGTCGAGCTCCACCACCTCCATCTCCACCACCAGCTGGGGATGCCCCGCTTCACCATCCACCCTCGCCTCCTCCTCCCCAATCTCCAATTGGGGTGGCAGCTCGTCGTGCTGCTGCTGGCATCCATCGTGTCCCTGCACCACCCAGGAGGGCTCCAGCTCCGGCTGCAGCTCCTCCCAGGCGCACTATGGCAGAGATCTTTGTAGAGATCCCTGAAGACCTCAGTGACGATGAGCTGCTTCTGAAGTCATCCTCTGCCCTTATTGTGGCTCGTGAGGGTGACCCCTCAGATCCTAAGCTGGCAGCAGCTCACGCTACTGCAGTGCAGTCTGTGTTGTCTGCTGTAGCCTCTGGGAACCCCAGGTCGTTCTTTGAAGCGTCCAAGCGGGAGGATGGTCCATTATGGCGCGTTGCAGCTGCATCTGAGATAGACTCTCTGCTCAGCAACTGCACATGGGATGTGGTCGACTTGCCACAAGGGGTCAAGCCAATCCGCTCTCAATGGGTGTTTGTGATCAAACACAAGTCTGATGGCACTGTGGAACGCTACAAAGCCAGACTCGTGGCAGATGGTCGTGGCCAGCGCTATGGCATTGACTACCACGAGGTGTTTGCACCCACCTTCAGACCTGCTACTCTGCGCGTCATCCTTGCCCTTGCTGCCCAGAACAACCTCAAACTGCGCTCCATCGACTTCTCTTCTGCCTACCTCAATGGGGACCTGGATGAGGATGTCTACATGACTCAGCCAGAAGGGTTCCCCCAGGGAGAGAAGGGCCAGGTCCTGAAGCTGAACCGGTCCATCTATGGGCTGAAGCAGGCTGGCCGCCAGTGGCGCATCAAGTTGGTTGCCAAGCTGACTGCCATGGGGTTCAAGTGCATCAAGTCTGACAGCTCCTGCCACATCTACTCTGATGGTGTTGTGCGCGTGATCCTGCCCATCTATGTTGATGATGGCACCATTGCTGCAAAGCATGATGCTGACATTGACAAGGTCATTGCCCAGCTTGGCACGGCCTTCAAGGTGCGGGATCTGGGTCCCACAGAGTGGCTTCTGGGGATCAAGATAGAGCGTGATGAGCACACTGGGGACATCAGCATCTCCCAGCGCCAGTATGCTGTCAACCTCCTGGAGCAGTATGGCATGGCTGACTGCAAGCCTGTGGACACCCCCATGCTACCTGGCCTGTCTCTGACCAAGGAGATGGGAGCCAAGACTGAGGAGGAGTCCAAGCAGTTCAAGGGCAACTATCTGTCTGCTGTTGGCTCTCTGATGTACCTGGTCTGTCAGACTCGACCTGACATCTCCTATGCTGTGGGGGTGCTAGCGCGCTTCAATAGCAATCCTGGTGAAGAGCACTGGAAGGCTGTCAAACACCTGCTCCGATACATCCAGGGCACCCTTGACTTCCGCATCACCTACTCCAAATCCTCTCCCACCCTCTATGACCCAGCCACCCACATCCATCCTGACGACCTCTTCACCACCTTCACTGATGCTGATCATGCTGGAGACAAGGACTCCATGAAAAGCACTGGGGGGTATGTCATCATGATGGCTGGTGGACCAGTGAGCTGGAGGAGCAAGCTGCAGTCCACCATCTCTCTGTCCACTACTGAGGCAGAGTATGTGGCTAGTGTGGATGCTGGGAAGGAGATCAAGTGGATGCGGAATCTGCTGCACGAGCTGGAGCATGGTGTGTCTGGGGCTTCTCCCTTGATGATGGACAACCAGTCTGCCATTTCTGTGTCCAAGAATCCTGAACACCATGGGCGTATGAAGCATCTGGACCTTGCACACTACTGGCTCAGAGATGAAGTGGCCAGAGGGTTCATTGATGTGAAGTATGTGCCAACGCAGGACCAGCTGGCTGACATCATGACCAAGGCGCTGCCTCGGCCTCAGGTGGCAAGGTTGCGCACACTAATGAGATTGCGGGGGAGAGGCTGAGAGACTGATCTCATCCCGGGGGAGTGTTGAGGATGGGTTTTGGACTTGATCACTCTCTGGTGATTGGGTCACATGATTAACTGATTCCATCTGATCCTATCACTGATCACATCACTGATGATATCTGATTCCATCACTGTTCCCATCATTGTTCCCATCATTCCATCATTCTGGTCACATAACTCCAAGTCACATGATTCCTATACAGTCACATGCTCTATCCACATAAATAGTTCCTCCCTCCCTGGAGTTCTTCAGCTTCTTACTGTTGACTCCAGGTCTGTAGATTCTTTTCTTGTCTTGTCTTGCAACGAGAGCTTCTTACTGTTGACTCCAGTCCTCTCTGCATTTCCTGCTTCAACACGAGCGCTTTGTTGGCTGCCATGTCCCGTAGAACCTCTTGAAACCAATGCTCACAATCTGGCATCCACTAACCAACACTCATTCCCGATGTGAAAAACGCACCCCCCTGCGGCCACCATGAGAGCCGTTGTTCTTGATGTCCGCTGGTTTTGCCGGTCCGGGGATTTAGCTGGTCTAGACGGCTCAGTCACTTTGTTTCAGAAAACAAGAGAGGAAACTTACTTATCTCAATGCTGTAGACACCAAGAACAAGGTCTTCTTCCTCCTCCGTCAAGGCATGAAAATAGAAGGAGGTGTTGTTGATCTGTAGCTGCTGCTCAGCTAGCTTGATGTTGACATCATCTGATCTCAGCTCCGACTGCAAGTTGTTGATGATCAGGCGAGCAAGGTGAGCAACTACACCTCCAGCTTGAAGCACCAGTGATCCCTGAGGAGAGAGAAGGAACCGCTTGAGGAGATCCCAGTAGGTGTCAAGATCATGCTGATCCGGGATGTAACCTGCAGCGCGAACTCCGAGACCGCGACAATGGAAATAGCTCGGCTGATATGACGATGGTGTATAGGTGGAAGCCTCAACAACAATGTGGAAGGCAGCACCAAGATCATACAAGTTTGAGATGATCTCGGACCAGGTGCTGCAACGACAGCGCATGAGCTGTATAACAGTTGTGCCGCTGAAAGTAAGAACTTCTTGCCCAGATGCCCCCTGGTCAGCCGGCTTGAGCACATATCCCGTGGTGCCATGGACTTTGCTGCTGCTCACACCCTCAATCAAGGTTACCAAGACGCCGCTCTTTGATAGGATATCTTTGGCAATCTTCTTGTTGCAGAGGTCGAAAAGATCGCTGGGCATCTCTTGAAGACGCTGTTGAGGATGGGTTTTGGACTTGATCACTCTCTGGTGATTGGGTCACATGATCATCTGATTCCATCTGATCTTATCAATGATCACATCACTGATGGTATCTGATTCCATCACTGTTCCCATCATTCCATCATTCTGGTCACATAACTCCAAGTCACATGATTCCTATACAGTCACATGCTCCATCTACATAGATAGTTCTTGCCTTCCTGGAGTTCTTCAGCTTCTTACTGTTGACTCCAGGTCTGTAGATTCTTTTCTTGTCTTGTCTTGCAATGCAGAGCTTCTTACTGTTGACTCCAGTCCTCTCTGCATTTCCTGCTTCAACAGACGCTTAGCCTTGGTCAGTGAAAGCAGCAACGCCCGGGCTGGATTCCTCAGCGGCTTTGGTGTGGAGGACTCTCCGTGGCCCAAGAAGCGATTGCCCAAGTTGAGGCTAATCATCTCAGCCTCGGTGAAAGACCGCTCGGAGCTGTCAACAAGCCCGACGCGATATTCGAGAATGGCCCTTGTGGGATGGAGATCAGCACTGTTGATCTCAGGCGCAATGGAAAGTTGCTCTTTGTCTGCAACGCCGTTGTAGTAGCTGTCAACATGTTGGAGAATAGAGGAAGAGTTGTTCAAAGTTGACTGCACTCAAGCAGTGAGTCCCACAGGAAGATCATCCTCAAAGTCGGCGTCAAAACCTGTGAAACATCCACCATAGATATCACTGTCGCTGCAGAAGTTGTTGTATATTGCTTGAGCTGCGAGATCCAGCAGTTTTCAGAGGTCCCACTCATTCCTGAACGAGTCGTATATGCGCTGGGACTGGGCAAAATCAACCCATTCTTCCTCAACCTTGTTCCGTTGGACCAAACAACGAACCCAGAATTTGTCCACCTCCTCCCATATGAATACATGAGCACCCTTCTTCCCAGGACAGGACTGTGACTTAGCGTTGTGTTCGTGCTGAAGGCATGTCTGCCTGTCCTTGTCTGTTTCTTGGGAAAGTCTGTGCTTGTTGAGTGTCTTGTGACAAGCAAAGAACTCCTCATAGCTCTCCCCCTTCTTCTGGCCACTGTGAGGCTTGACAGGTGGGAATTGACATTGCTCAGTCTTCAAAGCCGCGTAGTATTCAGGGTTTGGGATTGTCCCAAACAGATGTTGATAAAATGGCTGAACCAGGAATTGAACCTAGGACCTCTGACTTGGATCGTCCAGTGCTCTGACCACTGAGCTATTCTGCCTTGGTGCTGGGATTCCCAACTCCAACAACAGACGCATATTCACTTTAACAAAGACGAATTCCTCCGTTGCGACTGGGACTGCAGGGAGCTGGTTCAGTGCACAAATCCAATGGCCAGCCTCAAGACTGAGATTGTGCATGGCCGGAAACGCTTCCAGATGACTGGCTCGTGTCACAGCCTCGTTGCCCTCACCCAGGAAAAAGTAGATTGGGACATGGATCTGGGTAGTGGCTTTGATGAGCATGGAGAAGAGCCAGTCGAGCTTGCAGGGGCTCTCTGATGTGCAGTCTAGAATCATTCCCGCCAGATGCCGGAGGAGATGCTGAACAACATCCTCCAACGAGTCCATCGACCAAGGGTGGATCCCCAGTAGTTTCATGACATTGCCGCGCTAGGCTGAGCTCTGGGCAGAACCATCCAGCGCAAGGAAATAGAGTGCGATAGCCGATAGTAGCATGGAAAACGTGTCTTTGGAGTGGAAAACAGCAGTGATGAGCATCTCCTGCGTTGAGAATGGGTTTGCATAGCCATAGGAGATTGGTTGTGAGTTCATGGCCCCGCAACTTGGTGCTGGGACAAGTCGGGCAATTTCACCCCATAAGGCCGTAGCGACATTGGAAAGGAAGCCCTCCAAACTCGCCCATTTCTTGACCATGACCGGATTAAGAACCCAACTGCCACACTCCTGCCTTTGCATAGGAAGTGCGCACATGGAGACGTCAATAACACCCAGTAAATTGCCGTCAAACATGGGGTAGCGATGTTGATAAAATGGCTGAACCAGGAATTGAACCTGGGACCTCTGACTTGGATTGTCTAGTGCTCTAACCACTGAGCTATTCTGCCTTGGTGCTGGGATTCCCAACTCCAACAAGCGAGGGCCACAGGTAAGGTGGATTTGTTGAATGCTCATCCACGACGTGGTGTATAGAGATGAATACACCATAGGTCCAGGATTGGGACAGGGAACATAGAGGAGAGTGGTGCGGTCAGCATGAAAAACAACGAATATGCCTAGCTCGTTATGCAGAAGGCCATGAAAATGAGCTGTAGGCTTTTCAGAGTTATATATAGAGAGTCAGTGATGCAAGATAAAGCTTACAATAAGCGTCAACTTTTCAGATTCGTCCAGCGTTGTAAGCGGGACAAGCTAGTAGACATCATTGTCACTGGGCTGGACAGTCAGCTGGAAAGATGAAGAATTGCGCGGCAAACACATCAATTCTGTTGCTGTGGGACCCGGCGGCAAACACCTGAGTCCCTGTTTGCAATCTCTAGGAGCTATAGTGTAGAGTGAAGAGAAGAAACGATGTTAGATCAGCATGTGGCTGATTGATGAGATCTTTGATCTTGATTGTCTCCCACTTTCTTGAGAGTTTACTCAACTACAGCTGCCAGACGTGTGCCACCAACAGCTCCCTCAATATTCGATATTCTAGGAGTCTCCATTTCAATAATCCACCATACAATTTCAATATCATCTTGTCTGTCGCCTGTCGCCCGCTCTCAGGCGTCTGTAGCTATCTGGAGAACCACACCTTATATGCATCGTATCTATTTCTATGGGACCCAGCGGCAAACGCCCGAGTCCCTACTTTGCACATGGTGGAAGGAAGAAAGAGGATGATAAGGACGTGTCAGACACAAGTGATTGTGTCCATCGGTCTATCTGTCAAATATGATCAGGTGAATTTCACGTGATTGATCAACTTACTTCAGTGTCAGGGGAACCCCCGCTTTGGACTGCTCTGCCTTTGATCTGGTATGTGATCGCGCTCGCGTGACCTGTCAGCTGTCACGTGCCACAGTCCGGACTGCTGTGCCAAGCGCTTCTCTCTGATGGGCACATGGTCAGGTGTCCCATCGTTCCCACTGTCTCGGTTTCCTATTGTTCTCCAATGGCCATTGTACTTATTGTTCCCATTGTTCTTTGTTTGTCGCTGCGCGCTCTATTGTTCTTGTATCATATAGATAGTGGCGCCTGGCAAGGAGAATCCCCAACACGGTTTCTCTTTGGATTCTCCCTTGCCAGAACTCTAAGATCGGGTCTCGAGGTTGCCCTTACAGCAGAAACCGTGTTCCTAGGGATAACTGGTCAAGATTGCGAGGTTTGACGCCGATAGTAACAGCAGAGATGAGTTAACGAGCGACCAAGACCGCCAATCTGTCACCTCTTTTCTTGCCCCGTCCTCCCCTCCACAAGCACACTCGACCAGCATGGAAGACAACAACTCCCAGCATCGACTGTCCGCCCTGGAGACCAGCATCCAGAACATCGAAGCCGTACTCAATCGGCTCCTCAACCAACCACAACCCCCTGCCCCTGCACCAGCTCTGGCAGTGGGTCCAGGTGTTTCTGCTGGCTCTCAGTCAAACACTGCGCGCCCCCTCATCCGTCCCAACCCCCCCTTCTTGTTCGATGGGGATCACACCTTGGGCAAGAGCTTCTTGCACTCAGTGTTGAGGATGGGTTTTGGACTTGATCACTCTCTGGTGATTGGGTCACATGATCATCTGATCTTATCACTGATCACATCACTGATGATATCTGATTCCATCACTGTTCCCATCATTCCATCATTTTGGTCACATGACTTCTGATCACATGATTCCTGTACAGTCACATGCTCCATCTACATAGATAGTTCCTCCCTCCCTGGAGTTCTTCAGCTTCTTACTGTTGACTCCAGGTCTGTAGATTCTTTTCTTGTTTTCTCTTGCAATGCAGAGCTTCTTACTGTTGACTCCAGTCCTCTCTGCATTTCCTGCTTCAACAGGTTATGGGCCCCTGCCTCTAGAGTGCCTCTGAGTCATCTATTCTGAGATTTTCGAGTTTTTTTTCCATTCTCTGATTTTCTCTGCCTGCTGCTGCCTGCTTGCCCCAGTCCTGCTACTGCAGTTGACATCTCTGCTGCCTGTTCTGTTCTCTTTTTCCTCTGCTCTTATAGTGTCTGTGGTTCAGGCACTAGTAGTTGGGACTCTATCCTTAAGTGGGTGTGCTCTTTGGTCCATCAGGAAACACCAGGTAGTCATTCCTGTGATCCTGAGGTTGAGACAGCTAGGTGCCTGAGATCAACACACTCCTGAGAGCCTGTAGCTACATACATACATCTCCTACATCATTCTGGGCGCATTTTTGAGCACAGCATGGCATCAAATTCCCACTCTCATCCATCAGTCTTTTCTCCTTCTGCTGCCCTGGCAGCTGCACCTGCTTCTGCTCAGCCATTGTGTTATGCCTGTTATTAACATGGCCACACACTTCTAAAATGCCCAGAGTTTTTGTCTCTCCTAGAGGACAATGCTTCTGAGCCTGAGCCAGAGCCTGAGCCTGTGCCTGTGCCGAGGCCTAGGCCTAGAAAGGGTGCAGTCAAGTCTGAAGTGGCCACTCATACAAGCCTTCTCTCCCACTCCACTGCAGACCCTGAGTTGAGATGGATTGCAAATTCTGGTGCTACATCACACATGACCCATTGTGTGCACCTGCTGCAGAACACTCGTCCTCATAGGGCACCCATCAGAGTGGCTAATGGACTTGTGGTCTATTCAGAGCTTGTGGGGGAGATAGTGCTTAGGCCACTGATCCATGGACATGCCAGGAGCCGGTCTGTGATCCTCTCCAATGTGCTCTATGTCCCTGCTCTGTCACACAATCTGATCTCCACTACATACCTGTCAGTTCACCATGACTACACTGTGCTCATGAAGGAGAACTACATCCTGTTCAAGCGCAATGGTGAAGTGTACTTTGTGGCAGATATCTCAGAGCAGGGTCAGGCATTTGTGAGAGAGACTGGTTTCCCTTCTGCTGGTTCAGCACTGGTCTCTACAGCTGGGACTCTTCCCATTGACCTCAGCCTGATGCACAGGCGGCTTGGACACCACAGTGATACCAAGCTAGTCATGGATAAAGAGCTGGTTACTGGTGTGAGGCTTGCTTCTGCCAGGAAGCCAGACCCCATCTGTGAGCCATGCCTCTTTGGCAAGCTGAATGCTGGCCTGTTTCCTTCAACTGGTCATCGTTCTGGAGCGCCTCTTGATCTCATTCACTCTGATCTAAAGAGCTACTCTGTGCCCACCCGCGAGGGCTGGAAGCACAGGGTGACTTTTGTTGATGATCACACTGGCTTCAAGGTAGCATACCACATGAAGAACAAGAGTGAGACATTTGCAGCCCTTAAGATGTTTCAAGCCTATGCTGAGACTCACTGGGGGCTGAAGATCAAGGCATTCCAGGACGATAAAGGGGGAGAGTACATGTCTAATGAGTTCAGATCACATCTGGACAAGTGTGGCATTGTGCACCGCCATTCAGTCAGGGCACGGCCTCAGCAGAATGGGACAGCAGAGCGGTCTAACCGCACCGTTGATGAGCACTCCACTGCCATGTTACACGAAGCCAACCTGCCCCCTGCATTCAGGGCACTGGCGGTGTCTGCATACATCCATGTGTGCAACATGCACCCCACAGCTCGAGACCCCACCAGGACTCCCCATGAGCTGTGGTTCAAGGCAAAGCCTGATGTGTCTCATCTGCGTGTTTGGGGATGCCTTGCCTATGTGCATGTGCAAAGAGACAAGAGAGGTCCTTCTGGTCACCATGTCCAGAAGTGTATCTTTGTAGGCTATCCTGCAGGGTACAAGGGATGGTTGTTCTTCAACCCAGAGACCCGGAAACTCGTGATCGCTGAGAGAGCAGTGTTTGATGAGCGCTACTTCCCAGGCAGCACCCCTCAAGCTATGAGGAACTGTCCTGCTACACCCCCCTCCTCCATGCTGGTGGATCCCCCTCGTGCTCCGGCACCGGTGTATGTCCTTGATGACGATGGTGATGATGAGCAGCAACAGCCGCCTGCTCGTCCTCTCCCTGCACCTCGAATTCCCTCTCCTGCGGCCAGCAGTGATGATGAAATCGACTTCTTGCGTCGAGCTCCACCACCTCCATCTCCACCACCAGCTGGGGATGCCCCGCTTCACCATCCACCCTCGCCTCCTCCTCCCCAATCTCCAATTGGGGTGGCAGCTCGTCGTGCTGCTGCTGGCATCCATCGTGTCCCTGCACCACCCAGGAGGGCTCCAGCTCCGGCTGCTGCTCCTCCCAGGCGCACCATGGCAGAGATCTTTGAAGAGATCCCTGAAGACCTCAGCGACGATGAGCTGCTTCTGAAGTCATCCTCTGCCCTCATTGTGGCTCGCGAGGGTGACCCCTCAGATCCCAAGCTGGCAGCAGCTCATGCTACTGCAGTGCAGTCCGTGTTGTCTGCTGTAGCCTCTGGGAACCCCCGGTCGTTCTTTGAAGCGTCCAAGCGGGAGGATGGTCCACTATGGCGCGCTGCAGCTGCTTCGGAGACTGACTCTCTGCTCAGCAACTGCACATGGGATGTGGTCGACTTGCCACAAGGGGTCAAGCCAATTCGCTCTCAATGGGTGTTTGTGATCAAACACAAGTCTGATGGCACTGTGGAACGCTACAAAGCCAGACTCGTGGCAGATGGTCGTGGCCAGCGCTATGGCATTGACTACCACGAGGTGTTTGCACCCACCTTCCGACCTGCTACTCTGCGTGTCATCCTTGCTCTGGCTGCCCAGAACAACCTCAAACTGCGCTCCATCGACTTCTCTTCTGCCTATCTGAATGGGGACCTGGATGAGGATGTCTACATGACTCAGCCAGAAGGGTTCCCCCAGGGAGAGAAGGGCCAGGTCCTGAAGCTGAACCGGTCCATCTATGGACTGAAGCAGGCTGGCCGGCAATGGCGCATCAAGTTGGTTGCCAAGCTAACTGCCATGGGGTTCAAGTCCATCAAGTCAGACAGCTCCTGCCACATCTACTCTGATGGTGTTGTGCGCGTTATTCTGCCCATCTATGTTGATGATGGCACCATTGCTGCAAAGCATGATGCTGACATTGACAAGGTCATTGCCCAGCTTGGCACGGCCTTCAAGGTGCGGGATCTGGGTCCTACAGAGTGGCTTCTGGGGATCAAGATAGAGCGTGATGCAGACACTGGAGACATCAGCATCTCCCAGCGCCAGTATGCAGTAAACCTCCTGGAGCAGTATGGCATGGCTGACTGCAAGCCTGTGGACACCCCCATGCTGCCTGGCCTGTCTCTGACCAAGGAGATGGGAGCCAAGACTGAGGAGGAGTCCAAGCAGTTCAAGGGCAACTATCTGTCTGCTGTTGGCTCTCTGATGTACCTGGCCTGTCAGACTCGTCCTGACATCTCCTATGCTGTGGGGGTGCTGGCACGCTTCAACAGCAATCCTGGTGAAGAACACTGGAAGGCTGTCAAGCACCTGCTTCGATACATCCAGGGCACCCTTGATTTCCGCATCACCTACACCAAATCTTCCCCCACCCTCTATGACCCAGCCACCCACATCCATCCTGATGACCTCTTCACCACCTTCACTGATGCTGATCATGCTGGAGACGAGGACTCTATGAAAAGCACTGGGGGGTATGTCATTATGATGGCTGGTGGACCAGTGAGCTGGAGGAGCAAGCTGCAGTCCACCATCTCTCTGTCCACCACTGAGGCAGAGTATGTGGCTGGTGTGGATGCTGGGAAGGAAATCAAGTGGATGCGCAATCTGCTGCATGAGCTGGAGCATGGTGTGTCTGGGGCTTCTCCCTTGATGATGGACAACCAGTCTGCCATATCTGTGTCCAAGAATCCTGAACACCATGGGCGTATGAAGCATCTGGACCTAGCTCACTACTGGCTCAGAGATGAAGTTGCCAGAGGGTTCATTGATGTGAAGTATGTGCCGACGCAGGACCAGCTGGCTGACATTATGACCAAGGCGCTGCCTCGGCCTCAGGTGGCAAGGTTGCGCACACTGATGAGATTGCGGGGGAGAGGCTGAGAGACTGATCTCATCACGGGGGAGTGTTGGTGATGGGTTTTGGACTTGATCACTCTCTGGTGATTGGGTCACATGATCATCTGATTCCATCTGATCTTATCACTGATCGCATCACTGATGATATCTGATTCCATCACTGTTCCCATCATTCCATTATTCTGGTCACATGACTCCAAGTCACATGATTCCTATATAGTCACATGCTCCATCCACATAGATAGTTCCTCCCTCCCTGGAGTTCTTCAGCTTCTTACTGTTGACTCCAGGTCTGTAGATTCTTTTCTTGTCTTGTCTTGCAATGCAGAGCTTCTTACTGTTGACTCCAGTCCTCTCTGCATTTCCTGCTTCAACACAAACACCCATTGAGAGCGGATTGGCTTGACCCCTTGTGGCAAGTCGACCACATCCCATGTGCAGTTGCTGAGCAGAGAGTCTATCTCAGATGCAGCTGCAACGCGCCATAATGGACCATCCTCCCGCTTGGACGCTTCAAAGAACGACCTGGGGTTCCTAGAGGCTACAGCAGACAACACAGACTGCACTGCAGTAGCGTGAGCTGCTGCCAGCTTAGGATCTGAGGGGTCACCCTCACGAGCCACAATAAGGGCAGAGGATGACTTCAGAAGCAGCTCATCGTCACTGAGGTCTTCAGGGATCTCTACAAAGATCTCTGCCATAGTGCGCCTGGGAGGAGCTGCAGCCGGAGCTGGAGCCCTCCTGGGTGGTGCAGGGACACGATGGATGCCAGCAGCAGCACGACGAGCTGCCACCCCAATTGGAGATTGGGGAGGAGGAGGCGAGGGTGGATGGTGAAGCGGGGCATCCCCAGCTGGTGGTGGAGATGGAGGTGGTGGAGCTCGACGCAAGAAGTCGATTTCATCATCACTGCTGGCTGCAGGAGAGGGAATTCGAGGTGCAGGGAGAGGACGAGCAGGCGGCTGTTGCTGCTCATCATCACCATCGTCATCAGGGACATACACCGGTGCCAGAGCACGAGGGGGATCCACCAGCATGGAGGAGGGGGGTGCAGCAGGACAGCTCCTCATAGCTTGAGGGGTACTGCCTGGGAAGTAGCGCTCATCAAACAGTGCTCTCTCAGCGATCACAAGTTTCCGAGTCTCTGGGTTGAAGAACAACCATCCCTTGTACCCTGCAGGATAGCCTACAAAGATACACTTCTGGACATGATGCCCAGAAGGACCTCTCTTGTCTCTTTGCACATGCACATAGGCAAGGCATCCCCAAACACGAAGATCAGACACATCAGGCTTTGCCTTGAACCACAGCTCATGGGGAGTCCTGGTGGGGTCTCGAGCTGTGGGGTGCATGTTGCACACATGGATGTATGCAGACACCGCCAGTGCCCTGAATGCAGGGGGCAGGTTGGCTTCGTGTAACATGGCAGTCGAGTGCTCATCAACGGTGCGGTTAGACTGCTCTGCTGTCCCATTCTGCTGAGGCCGTGCCCTGACTGAATGGCGGTGCACAATGCCACACTTGTCCAGATGTGCTCTGAACTCATTAGACATGTACTCTCCCCCTTTATCGTCCTGAAATGCTTTGATCTTCAGCCCCCAGTGAGTCTCAGCATACGCTTGAAACATCTTAAGGGCTGCAAAGGTCTCACTCTTGTTCTTCATGTGGTATGCTACCTTGAAGCCAGTGTGATCATCAACAAAAGTCACCCTGTGTTTCCAGCCCTCACGGGTAGGCACAGAGTAGCTCTTTAGATCAGAGTGAATAAGATCAAGAGGCGCTCCAGAACGATGACCAGTTGAAGGAAACAGGCCAGCATTCAGCTTGCCAAAGAGGCATGGCTCACAGATGGGGTCTGGCTTCCTAGGAGAGGCAAGCCTCACACCAGTAACTAGCTCTTTATCCATGACTAGCTTGGTATCACTGTGGTGTCCAAGCCGCCTGTGCATCAGGCTGAGGTCAATGGGAAGAGTCCCAGCTGTAGAGACCAGTGCTGAACCAGCAGAAGGGAAACCAGTCTCTCTCACAAATGCCTGACCCTGCTCTGAGATATCTGCCACAAAGTACACTTCACCATTGCGCTTGAACAGGATGTAGTTCTCCTTCATGAGCACAGTGTAGTCATGGTGAACTGACAGGTATGTAGTGGAGATCAGATTGTGTGACAGAGCAGGGACATAGAGCACATTGGAGAGGATCACAGACCGGCTCCTGGCATGTCCATGGATCAGTGGCCTAAGCACTATCTCCCCCACAAGTTCGGAATAAACAACAACTCCATTTGCGACTTTGATGGGCGCCCTATGAGGGCGTGTATTTTGCAGCAGGTGCACACAATGCGTCATGTGCGATGTGGCGCCTGAGTCTGCTATCCATCGCAAATCAGTACTGGAAGTTGTGTGAGAGAGAAGACTTGCATTGGTGGCCACTTCGGACTTGGCTGCTCCTTTTCCATTCCCAGCCCTGGGAGTATTGCCCTTGAGAAGTGCAAGGAACTCTGGACACTTCAAAATAGTGTGACCACGCTTTTGACACGCAGCACACCAAGGCTGGGAGGGACCAGATGCAGCCTCCAGTGCAGCAGAAGGAGGATTGGCAGAAGTGATCATTGCAGCTCCAGACAGAGGATTGCTCTGCCCAGAGTCTCCTGCATTGCCTGCTGCCCTGAAAGCAGACCATGAGGTAAAGGCCTGTTCAATGGCAGCCACCTTGAGAGCATCATGGGATTGCTCAAAGGGAGCCTTCAGAGTTGCATAAGCAGGCTCAGAATCAGGCAAGGCCATGAGGAGAACCACAGCATGCAGCTCTTCATCAGCCTTATCCAGTGTGAAGGAATCAGGCCTAGAGCTTTTGAGGAAGCGCACAGCCTCAGATACACGACCCACAAGGCTTAGCAAGCCCTCACCCTCCTTGAGTCTGATGGAGGTAAGGTTTTTATAGGCATTGAAGCGCTGCCCAGCCTGCTTGGGTGCAAAGATTGAAGGCAATGCAGCCCATAAGGCCTTGGGATCATCCTCATGCTGACGCACTAGGGACCTAACATCAGGGGAGAGCATGCTCCACAAGATGCCAGCACACTTGTCCTTCTTGACTTCCTCATGCTTGGCTGCATCAAAGGTGGCAGTGCAGTACACAAACACCTCTTTGCCTCTGAGATAGGCCTTGGCATCACTCTGCCAATCAGAGAAGACAGTTTCCTTATGGAGAACTGGAAGAAGAGTGTGGGAATCTGATGCCATGCTGTGCTCAAAAATGCGCCCAGAATGATGTAGGGGATGTATGTAGGTAGGTACAGGCTCTCAGGAGTGTGTTGATCTCAGGCACCTAGCTGTCTCAACCTCAGGATCACAGGAATGACTACCTGGTGTTTCCTGATGGACCAGAGAGCACACCCACTTAAGGATAGAGTCCCAACTACTAGTGCCTGAACCACAGACACTATAAGAGCAGAAAAAAAAACAGACGGAGGGGAGCAGAGATGTCAACTGCAGTAGCAGGACTGGGGCAAGCAGGCAGCAGCAGGCAGAGAAAATCAGAGAATGGAAAAAACTCGAAAATCTCAGAATAGATGACTCAGAGGCACTCTAGAGGCAGGGGCCCATAACCTGTTGAAGCAGGAAATGCAGAGAGGACTGGAGTCAACAGTAAGAAGCTCTGCATTGCAAGACAAGACAAGAAAAGAATCTACAGACCTGGAGTCAACAGTAAGAAGCTGAAGAACTCCAGGAAGGCAAGAACTATCTATGTAGATGGAGCATGTGACTGTATAGGAATCATGTGACTTGGAGTCATGTGACCAGAATGATGGAATGATGGGAACAATGATGGGAACAGTGATGGAATCAGATATCATCAGTGATGTGATCAGTGATGTGATCAGTGATAGGATCAGATGGAATCAGTTAATCATGTGACCCAATCACCAGAGAGTGATCAAGTCCAAAACCCATCCTCAACACATTCAGTCAGGGCACGGCCTCAGCAGAATGGGACAGCAGAGCGGTCTAACCGCACCATTGATGAGCACTCAACTGCCATGTTACATGAAGCCAACCTGCCCCCTGCATTCAGGGCACTGGCGGTGTCTGCATACATCCATGTGTGCAACATGCACCCCACAGCTCGAGACCCCACCAGGACTCCCCATGAGCTGTGGTTCAAGGCAAAGCCTGATGTGTCTCATCTTCGTGTTTGGGGATGCCTTGCCTATGTGCATGTGCAAAGAGACAAGAGAGGTCCTTCTGGTCACCATGTCCAGAAGTGTATCTTTGTAGGCTATCCTGCAGGGTACAAGGGATGGTTGTTCTTCAACCCAGAGACCCGGAAACTCGTGATCGCTGAGAGAGCAGTGTTTGATGAGCGCTACTTCCCAGGCAGCACCCCTCAAGCTATGAGGAACTGTCCTGCTACACCCCCCTCCTCCATGCTGGTGGATCCCCCTCGTGCTCCGGCACCGGTGTATGTCCTTGATGACGATGGTGACGATGAGCAGCAACAGCCGCCTGCTCGTCCTCTCCCTGCATCACGAGTTCCCTCTCCTGCAGCCAGCAGTGATGATGAAATCGACTTCCTGCGTCGAGCTCCACCACCTCCATCTCCACCACCAGCTGGGGATGCCCCGCTTCACCATCCACCCTCGCCTCCTCCTCCCCAATCTCCAATTGGGGTGGCAGCTCGTCGTGCTGCTGCTGGCATCCATCGTGTCCCTGCACCACCCAGGAGGGCTCCAGCTCCGGCTGCTGCTCCTCCCAGGCGCACCATGGCAGAGATCTTTGAAGAGATCCCTGAAGACCTCAGCGACGATGAGCTGCTTCTGAAGTCATCCTCTGCCCTTATTGTGGCTCGCGAGGGTGACCCCTCAGATCCCAAGCTGGCAGCAGCTCATGCTACTGCAGTGCAGTCTGTGTTGTCTGCTGTAGCCTCTGGGAACCCCAGGTCGTTCTTTGAAGCGTCCAAGCGGGAGGATGGTCCACTATGGCGCGCTGCAGCTGCATCTGAGATTGACTCTCTGCTCAGCAACTGCACATGGGATGTGGTCGACTTGCCACAAGGGGTCAAGCCAATCCGCTCTCAATGGGTGTTTGTGATCAAACACAAGTCTGATGGCACTGTGGAACGCTACAAAGCCAGACTCGTGGCAGATGGTCGTGGCCAGCGCTATGGCATTGACTACCACGAGGTGTTTGCACCCACCTTCAGACCTGCTACTCTGCGCGTCATCCTTGCCCTCGCTGCCCAGAACAACCTCAAACTGCGCTCCATCGACTTCTCTTCTGCCTATCTAAATGGAGACCTGGATGAGGATGTCTACATGACTCAGCCAGAAGGGTTCCCCCAGGGAGAGAAGGGCCAGGTCCTGAAGCTGAACCGGTCCATCTATGGGCTGAAGCAGGCTGGCCGCCAGTGGCGCATCAAGTTGGTTGCCAAGCTGACTGCTATGGGGTTCAAGTGCATCAAGTCTGACAGCTCCTGCCACATCTATTCTGATGGTGTGGTACGCGTGATCCTGCCCATCTATGTTGATGATGGCACCATTGCTGCAAAGCATGATGCTGACATTGACAAGGTCATTGCCCAGCTTGGCACAGCCTTCAAGGTGCGGGATCTGGGTCCTACAGAGTGGCTTCTGGGGATCAAGATAGAGCGTGATGCAGATACTGGGGACATCAGCATCTCCCAGCGCCAGTATGCTGTGAATCTCCTAGAGCAGTATGGCATGGCTGACTGCAAGCCTGTGGACACCCCCATGCTGCCTGGCCTGTCTCTGACCAAGGAGATGGGAGCCAAGACTGAGGAGGAGTCCAAGCAGTTCAAGGGCAACTATCTCTCTGCTGTTGGCTCCCTGATGTACCTGGCCTGTCAGACTCGTCCTGACATCTCCTATGCTGTAGGGGTCTTGGCCCGGTTCAACAGCAATCCTGGTGAAGAGCACTGGAAGGCTGTCAAGCACCTGCTCCGATACATCCAGGGCACCCTTGACTTCCGCATCACCTACTCCAAATCCTCTCCCACCCTCTATGACCCAGCCACCCACATCCATCCTGACGACCTCTTCACCACCTTCACTGATGCTGATCATGCTGGAGACAAGGACTCCATGAAAAGCACTGGGGGGTATGTCATTATGATGGCTGGTGGACCAGTGAGCTGGAGGAGCAAGCTGCAGTCCACCATCTCTCTGTCCACTACTGAGGCAGAGTATGTGGCTGGTGTGGATGCTGGGAAGGAGATCAAGTGGATGCGGAATCTGCTGCACGAGCTGGAGCATGGTGTGTCTGGGGCTTCTCCTTTGATGATGGACAACCAGTCTGCCATTTCTGTGTCCAAGAATCCTGAACACCATGGGCGTATGAAGCATCTGGACCTTGCACACTACTGGCTCAGAGATGAAGTGGCCAGAGGGTTCATTGATGTGAAGTATGTGCCGACGCAGGACCAGCTGGCAGATATCATGACCAAGGCGTTGCCTCGGCCTCAGGTGGCAAGGTTGCGCACACTGATGAGATTGCGGTGGAGAGGCTGAGAGACTGATCTCATCCCGGGGGAGTGTTGAGGATGGGTTTTGGACTTGATCACTCTCTGGTGATTGGGTCACATGATCATCTGATTCCATCTGATCTTATCACTGATCCTATCACTGATGATATCTGATTCCATCACTGTTCCCATCATTCCATCATTCTGGTCACATGACTCCAAGTCACATGATTCCTGTATAGTCACATGCTCCATCCACATAAATAGTTCCTCCCTCCCTGGAGTTCTTCAGCTTCTTACTGTTGACTCCAGGTCTGTAGATTCTTTTCTTGTTTTCTCTTGCAATGCAGAGCTTCTTACTGTTGACTCCAGTCCTCTCTGCATTTCCTGCTTCAACACTCAGTGAAGCAGTACTGGCGACTGCTCCCCGAGGCGTTCTTTGTGAATGGGGTAGTTGCTGAGGAGAAGGTAGTCTGCTTTGCCCTCTCCTACATGTCCAAGGACTCAGCGGCCTCCTGGTCCAAGTGCATGTCCAAGCGCACCCCGTTCCCGTTCCCCACTTGGGCTCTGTTCGTCACCGAGTTCAAGCTCCGATTCGTCGAGGAGAACGAGCAAGACCACGCCTTGGCGCGACTAGAAACCCATCAGTATTATATGGGCTCCCGTGACGTATTCAAGTACACGGACGAGTACGACGACCTCCTTGACCTCGCTGGTTATACCGACAACTTGGTCAAGGTAACCAAATATAGGACGGGCTTGGACCCAAGGATCAACTAAGCCATCACCACCTCTAATAACCCTCCCAGCCTCACCGACTACGCCGAATGGCATGTCCATGCGTTCCGGCAGTACAATGCGGAACTCGCTGCCAGAGCTTCTCGAGGCCACGCAGCGCCTTCTCCCCGGGCACCTGCTGTTGCCCCCCGTCCTCGTGCCCCGGTGCTCCCTGCTGTAGCACCGGCCCTCGCTGCCCGCCCGGTGCCCGCCCCTGTCGCCCATCCAATTCCCATGGAGGTAGACCGGGCCCGGCTCCGTGGTGACATTTGACGCACCTGCTTCCGCTGCAGCAGTCCGGGTCATCTTGCCCGTGACTGCCCCACCCCAGCTGACATACATCACGCTGATGTCCTTGATGAGGTCATCAATCAGCTGGGGAGTGATCTGCTTTCCGAGTTGGTCGCTTGGGTCGCAACCACTGCAGCCATTGCGGATCATGTGTCCAACGTTGCAGCCGAGGAGGAGCAGGGTTTTCTCCCCAGCGACGAGTGAGTAGTACGCCCTCGTTTGCCTCACGTAATCGTTTCTCCTGTTTGTATGATGAATCCAATTCTCTCCACTCTGCAACGGTTGAAGCGATAGACGTACACCCTGCTCCCCCCCTAACCCCACGAGTCCATAAGGAGAAGTGGGAACGCAAGCTCCCTTCCTGCTATATCGCTGCCGCCTCTCCCGGGGCCAATTCTCTCCACCTCCCCCTCGAGATCGAGTCCACCGACAATGCAGTGAAGTTATCTCTCAAAGGCCTGGTCGATTGTGGTGCCACATCCGACTTCATCGACTTGGCCTACGTCCTCGAAAATCACCTCCCTGTTTATCGCCTCACCTAGCCTATCCCCGTTTACAACATGGACGGCATGCCAAACAAGGCCGGTTCCATTCGCGAAGTCGCTGATGTGGTTCTCCGTTACCAGGGCCACAGTGAACGCGTGCAGCTTGCTGTCACCCGTTTAGGCAAGCAGCAGCTCATTCTAGGGTACTCCTGGCTCTGGAAGCACAACCCGGAGATCAACTGGGATACCCAGGAGGTAAAGATGAGCCATTGCCCTTCCGGTTGCTCCACCTGCCGGGAGGAACTTTGCGAAGAACGTCGATCTGCCAGAACCGCGGCCCGGGTGCTTCGCACCATCAGACAAGGTCCGGTTCCACCCATCTGCGCTGTTGACGTTGAGGACCACAAGGACGAAGAGATACCGGAGCTTTCACCAGACTCGGACGATTATGACCCTGAAGATGTCAAAGAAGATGATGACTCCTTGGAAGCCGGTGACCGTATCTTTTACACCCGCTTCAACCCTTCTGAAAACATCCGAGCCACCAGCACCATCTCTCAGCGACTCGCCGAGGCGTTTGCTAAGAACTCTGCACCTCCTCAGGATACCATCCCCGAGTGGGCCCGCGAGTTCGAAGATGTTTTCAGCAAGGAGTCCTTCGACAACCTGCCAGAGCAACACCCCTGGGATCACGCCATTGAACTGGTTCCTGACGCGAAGCCGACCAACTGTAAGGTCTACCCCATCTTGTTGAACACAGAAAACACAGATGGGAGCCGCAGGAGGCTAGGGGCACAGATGGGAGGCGAAAAGCCCAGTAGGTCACATTGATCTAATGCTATATACTATGCGTCACAGAGTAATGTCACACCCTTTGTCTGAACCAAGCACATACAATATCCACACATCAACACTCCCACCCTTGGGAGGACAAAGCAATCCAGAAACCCAGCCACTCCCACCCAACTGAGACAATCCCACTCCCACCCAATTGAAATCCACCAGATCCTCGAAAATCCAGACAGCCCCTACACCCAATTTGAGTCTTCTTCAGCATCCAAGTCAATCTGCAGAGATCCAGCAGAGATCCAGGGAGATCTAACAAGATCTGGCCAATCCACCAAGATCCAACAAGATCCAAGGGGATCCGATGCGATTTTCGGCCTTCACAAGACAGGGTAGGGTGCTGGGGACTGGTGTGTGCAAGGGGCAGCAGCACAGAGTGAAATCCATCGAAATCCATTGAAATCAGGAAAGGAGGGAGGTGTAGGGGCAGGGAGAGTGGCAGAGGAAAAGTGGTGAAGCAGGGGGCACTCCAGGGGAATGTGTGTATGTAGCAGCTGTGTGGTAGCTGTGAACTCATCTGCATGAATCTGACACCCTCCCCAACATCTCCACCCAAGATCTGGCTGATCCATCCTAATCCCTTCCTCCAACATGGTTGTACAGTGTAGCAGTGGTGGATGAAGTCGAAATGGTGGTCCTGGGGGTGGCAGTGTTGGAGTTGGGAATCCCAGCACCAAGGCAGAATAGCTCAGTGGTTAGAGCACTAGACAATCCAAGTCAGAGGTCCCAGGTTCAATTCCTGGTTCAGCCATTTTATCAACATGGTAGCAGCAACTCACAGACATAAGTCGGCCTGGAACACACTGGCGTGGACCACTGCAGTCTGATGAGTGCCTAATGATAAATGGTGCCACCCCGTCCTTGACAGGCGCAGTGCCAATGGTGCTGTGATACCGGGGGAGTGTTGGAGTTGGGAATCCCAGCACCAAGGCAGAATAGCTCAGTGGTTAGAGCACTGGACGATCCAAGTCAGAGGTCCCAGGTTCAATTCCTGGTTCAGCCATTGTATCAACAGGCAGATGGTGGCAGATGGTGGCAGAATAGAGATCAGGCAAGATCGGAAAAATGCGCAGCAAGGGGAAGGCCAATGAGGGGCAGGGGGAGAAGAAGAGAAGTTAAAGATGGGTCAGAGCGGGGCCCATAACCTGTTGAACACAGAAAACACAGATGGGAGCCGCAGGAGGCTAGGGGCACAGATGGGAGGCGAAAAGCCCAGTAGGTCACATTGATCTAATGCTATATACTATGCGTCACAGAGTAATGTCACACCCTTTGTCCGAACCAAGCACATACAATATCCACACATCAACACATCTCCCCTCTCGAACAGAAGCAGCTCGACAGCTTCATTGAGGAGGGCATGGCTACTGGCAGGATTTGGCCGTCAAAATCGCCCATGGCGTCTCCCGTCTTCTTCGTGAAGAAGAAAGACGGCAGCTTACAGTTTGTCCAAGATTACCAAGCACTAAATGTGATGACAGTGAAGAACCGGTACCCACTCCCCCTGATCAATGATCTCATTAACAAGCTCAAGGGAGCTTGGTTCTTCACCAAACTCGACGTTTGCTGGGGCTTCAACAACGTGCACATTCGTCAAGGCGATGAGTGGAAGGCAGCATTTCGGACAAACTGTGGGCTCTTTGAGCCGTTGGTGATATATTTCGGCCTGACCAATTCCCCCGCAACGTTCCAGACAATGATGAATGACATACTTCAGGACCTCATTCTTTCTGGCGACGTTATGGTGTACCTCAATGACATTCTCATTGCACATTCCGATATCCACTATCACCGGGAAATTGTGAACAAAGTACTCCGACGTCTCCGCAAGAACAAGCTCTACCTTCGCGCGGAGAAATGCGAGTTCGAGATGCTGTCGATTGAATACCTTGGGGTGATCATTTCCCACAACCATGTGGAGATGGACCCGGTCAAGGTCGCAGGTGTGGCGGAGTGGCCAGCTCCGGCTAACAAGAAGGAGGTGCAGCAGTTCCTCGGCTTCACTAACTTCTACCAGAGGTTCATCCGGGATTTTTTGCACATTGCCCGTCCTCTCTTTGACCTCACCAAGAAGGATGTGGCATGGACTTGGGGCGTCAACAAGGCAGCTGCGTTTCTTGCGCTGAAGAACGCTGTTACCTCTACCCCAGTCCTGCAGCTCCCGGATGCTTCCAGGTCTTACTGCCTCGAAGCAGACAGTTCGGACTTTGCGACCGGTGCTGTCATCTCGCAGCAGTCCCCCGTGGATGACAAGTGGCATCCGGTTGCCTTCTTCTCGAAGAGTCTTAACGAGGTCCAGCGGAACTACGAAATCCACGACAAGGAGATGCTCGCTATTGTCCGCGCCTTGGAGAAGTGGCGACACTGCCTCGAGGGCGCCGAGCACCCCGTCAAGATCTGGACCGACCACAAAAATCTGGAGTACTTCCGGAAGGCCCAGAATCTCAACCGTCGTCAAGCCCGCTGGTCCCTCTATCTGTCTCGCTTCGACTTCACCCTGCACCAGCAACCTGGCCGCCTCATGGGCCGCCCGGATGCTCTCTTGCGCTGCCCCGACCACGGAGTCGCTTCGGACAACGCAGACGTCACACTGCTGCGCCCGGAGCTGTTCCATGTCTGGGCCTTGGAGGGTCTCACTGTCTCTGGACCCGAAGCCCCTCTCCTGCGCAACATCCAGGAGGCCCTCGCCGGTACCCCCGACATGGAGGAGCCCATTATGTTGGCAGCACGTGAGCTCCTCAAGGAACGTGGAGTTCGCTCTGCTCGGGCTGCGAAGTGGTGAAAAGAAGGCAGCCTGCTCTACTTCTGTGGCAAGCTGGTGGTTCCACGCAACAACGACCTCCGCCAATGCATCCTCGAGGAGCACCACAACACCCGCGTTGCAGGGCATTGTTGATGTGTGGATTTTGTGTGTGCTTGGTTCGGACAAAGGATGTGACATTACTCTGTGACGCATAGTATATAGCATCAGATCAATGTGACCTACTGGGCTTTTCGCCTCCCATCTGTGCCCCTAGCCTCCTGCGGCTCCCATCTGAGTTTTCTGTGTTCAACAGGTTATGGGCCCCGCTCTGACCCATCTTTAAACCCTCTTCTTCTCCCCCTGCCCCTCATTAGCCTTCTCCTTGCTGCGCATTTTTCCGATCTTGCCTGATCTCCATTCTGCCACCATCTTGTTGAAGCAGGAAATGCAGAGAGGACTGGAGTCAACAGTAAGAAGCTCTGCATTGCAAGAGAAAACAAGAAAAGAATCTACAGACCTGGAGTCAACAGTAAGAAGCTGAAGAACTCCAGGGAGGGAGGAACTATCTATGTGGATAGAGCATGTGACTGTACAGGAATCATGTGATCAGAAGTCATGTGACCAAAATGATGGAATGATGGGAACAATGATGTAATCAGATATCATAAGTGATGTAATCAGTGATAAGATCAGATGGAATCAGATGATCATGTGACCCAATCACCAGAGAGTGATCAAGTCCAAAACCCATCACCAACACTCCCCCGGGATGAGATCAGTCTCTCAGCCTCTCCCCCGCAATCTCATCAGTGTGCGCAACCTTGCCACCTGAGGCCGAGGCAGCGCCTTGGTCATAATGTCAGCCAGCTGGTCCTGCGTTGGCACATACTTCACATCAATGAACCCTCTTGCCACTTCATCTCTAAGCCAGTAGTGTGCCAGGTCCAGATGCTTCATACGCCCATGGTGCTCAGGATTCTTGGACACAGATATGGCAGACTGGTTGTCCATCATCAAGGGAGAAGCCCCAGACACACCATGCTCCAGCTCGTGCAGCAGATTCCGCATCCACTTGATCTCCTTCCCAGCATCCACACCAGCCACATACTCTGCCTCAGTGGTAGACAGAGAGATGGTGGACTGCAGCTTGCTCCTCCAGCTCACTGGTCCACGAGCCATCATAATGACATACCCCCCAGTGCTTTTCATGGAGTCCTTGTCTCCAGCATGATCAGCATCAGTGAAGGTGGTGAAGAGGTCGTCAGGATGGATATGGGTGGCTGGGTCATAGAGGGTGGGCGAGGATTTGGAGTAGGTGATGCGGAAGTCAAGGGTGCCCTGGATGTATCGAAGCAGGTGCTTGACAGCCTTCCAGTGCTCTTCACCAGGATTGCTGTTGAACCGGGCCAAGACCCCTACAGCATAGGAGATGTCAGGACGAGTCTGACAGGCCAGGTACATCAGGGAGCCAACAGCAGACAGATAGTTGCCTTTGAACTGCTTGGACTCCTCCTCAGTCTTGGCTCCCATCTCCTTGGTCAGAGACAGGCCAGGCAGCATGGGGGTGTCCACAGGCTTGTAGTCAGCCATGCCATACTGCTCCAGGAGGTTCACAGCATACTGGCGCTGGGAGATGCTGATGTCTCCAGTGTGCTCATCACGCTCTATCTTGATCCCCAGAAGCCACTCTGTGGGACCCAGATCCCGCACCTTGAAGGCCGTGCCAAGCTGGGCAATGACCTTGTCAATGTCAGCATCATGCTTTGCAGCAATGGTGCCATCATCAACATAGATGGGCAGGATCACGCGCACAACACCATCAGAGTAGATGTGGCAGGAGCTGTCTGACTTGATGCACTTGAACCCCATGGCAGTCAGCTTGGCAACCAACTTGATGCGCCACTGGCGGCCAGCCTGCTTCAGCCCATAGATGGACCGGTTCAGCTTCAGGACCTGGCCCTTCTCTCCCTGGGAGAACCCTTCTGGCTGAGTCATGTGTTGAACACAGAAAACACAGATGGGAGCCGCAGGAGGCTAGGGGCACAGATAGGAGGCGAAAAGCCCAGTCTGTCACATTGATCTAGGGCTATGTACTGATGGTCACATAGCTAAGTAACACTCTTTTGTCTGAACCAAGCAAGACATCCTACTTCAACACTTCCACCCTTGGAAAGACAAAAGCAATCAAACAGAACACTCCCACCAGATCCAAGGCCACTCCCACCCAATCTAAGTCCGTCTTGGAGACAGGAATGGTCCACTAGGCCCACCACCAATCTCCGCTTCATTGGACATCTGGAACTCATCCCACATCTCAAAGAAGCTCTCCCTGGTCAGACCTGCCTCCAGTGCAGCAGAGAAAGCAGCAGAAGCGGAGCTGCTCTTGCCATTAGCCAGGATCCAGTCCTTCACAAAGGTGGGCATGGTGTGCATGCACTTGTGAGCAATGTGGCCAGTGCGTCCACAGCGATGGCAGCCCCTGGTGGTAGGGTCACACCAACAAAAACCTTGGGAATCCAGCGGAAATCCGTCCTGGGCAACGCTACCAGTGATGGGGGAGGTGTATGATGACGTGGCAGATGCTGTGCCTCGACGTGGCGCCGATGCAGCCAGGGCCAGGCTCGAAATATCACCATCTTCGATTTTGAGAACCACTCCAGGGTCTGAGCTTGAGCTGGCAAGCTGGGTGATGCAGTCTTCGAGTTTGGGCTCAGGAGAGCGTGCAAGGAGGATGGTGCGGACTGTGTGGAAGGCTGGGTGAAGATTCCTGAGCAGGACATCTTTGTGGATGGTGGAATCGATAGAAACACCCATGGCAGCCAGTTTCTTCACTGCATCTCCCACAGCTCAAATGTAGACATCGATTTCCTTGGTGGGGTCATGGGGGATAGAGTGCAGCTCAGCCCTGGCAGCCATCCTGGTGCTCATGCTCGATTTTTCGAAGTGGGCCTTGAGGGCAGCCCAGGCAGCAGTGGCAGACTCGAAATCATCGATGAGAGGCTGGTACTGCTCCTCTATCTTGGTGTAGAGGTAGGGGAGGAGCATTCTGTCCAGAGCAACTTGGTCAGACTCATCTGCTTTTGGCCCTTTCCCCATAACCCAAAGTGCGTCCACTCCTAGCAAAAACACCTTGAATCCCTTCCCAAACTTGGCCCAGTTGTCCTTCCCCAGCATAGGAACAGTGGTGAGAACGATGGTGAGGGCTGAGGTGATAGTAGGGGCCATGGTGGTGCAGGGAGAAGCGGTAGGAGCGTCGGGGAAAACCGGAACAGAGGGGAGAAGCAAAAAGAGCGAAAAAAGAGCGAAAAATGCGCAGAGAGAGCAAGGAAAAGGGTAGATGGATAGGTCAGGGCGGGGCCAATAACCTGTTGAACACAGAAAACACAGATGGGAGCCGCAGGAGGCTAGGGGCACAGATGGGAGGCGAAAAGCCCAGTCTGTCACATTGATCTAGGGCTATGCACTGATGGTCACATAGCTAAGTAACACTCTTTTGTCTGAACCAAGCAAGACATCCTTTCCACACTTCAACATCATGTAGACATCCTCATCCAGGTCCCCATTGAGATATGCAGAAGAGAAGTCGATGGAGCGCAGTTTGAGGTTGTTCTGGGCAGCCAGAGCGAGGATGACACGCAGAGTAGCAGGTTGGAAGGTGGGTGCAAACACCTCGTGGTAGTCAATGCCATAGCGCTGGCCACGACCATCTGCCACGAGTCTGGCTTTGTAGCGTTCCACAGTGCCATCAGACTTGTGTTTGATCACAAACACCCATTGAGAGCGAATTGGCTTGACCCCTTGTGGCAAGTCGACCACATCCCATGTGCAGTTGCTGAGCAGAGAGTCAGTCTCCGAAGCAGCTGCAGCGCGCCATAGTGGACCATCCTCCCGCTTGGACGCTTCAAAGAACGACCGGGGGTTCCCAGAGGCTACAGCAGACAACACGGACTGCACTGCAGTAGCATGAGCTGCTGCCAGCTTGGGATCTGAGGGGTCACCCTCGCGAGCCACAATGAGGGCAGAGGATGACTTCAGAAGCAGCTCATCGTCGCTGAGGTCTTCAGGGATCTCTTCAAAGATCTCTGCCATGGTGCGCCTGGGAGGAGCAGCAGCCGGAGCTGGAGCCCTCCTGGGTGGTGCAGGGACACAATGGATGCCAGCAGCAGCACGACGAGCTGCCACCCCAATTAGAGATTGGGGAGGAGGAGGCGAGGGTGGATGGTGAAGCGGGGCATCCCCAGCTGGTGGTGGAGATGGAGGTGGTGGAGCTCGACGCAGAAAGTCGATTTCATCATCACTGCTGGCTGCAGGAGAGGGAACTCGTGGTGCAGGGAGAGGACGAGCAGGCGGCTGTTGCTGCTCATCGTCACCATCGTCATCAGGGACATACACCGGTGCCAGAGCACGAGGGGGATCCACCAGCATGGAGGACGGGGGTGCCGCAGGACAGCTCCTCATAGCTTGAGGGGTGCTGCCTGGGAAGTAGCGCTCATCAAACAGTGCTCTCTCAGCGATCACAAGTTTCCGAGTCTCTGGGTTGAAGAACAACCATCCCTTGTACCCTGCAGGATAGCCTACAAAGATACACTTCTGGACATGGTGACCAGAAGGACCTCTCTTGTCTCTTTGCACATGCACATAGGCAAGGCATCCCCAAACACGAAGATGAGACACATCAGGCTTTGCCTTGAACCACAGCTCATGGGGAGTCCTGGTGGGGTCTCGAGCTGTGGGGTGCATGTTGCACACATGGATGTATGCAGACACCGCCAGTGCCCTGAATGCAGGGGCAGGTTGGCTTTGTGTAACATGGCAGTGGAGTGCTCATCAACGGTGCGGTTAGACCGCTCTGCTGTCCCATTCTGCTGAGGCCGTGCCCTGACTGAATGGTGGTGCACAATGCCACACTTGTCCAGATGTGATCTGAACTCATTAGACATGTACTCTCCCCCTTTATCGTCCTGGAATGCCTTGATCTTTAGCCCCCAGTGAGTCTCAGCATAGGCTTGAAACATCTTAAGGGCTGCAAATGTCTCACTCTTGTTCTTCATGTGGTATGCTACCTTGAAGCCAGTGTGATCGTCAATAAAGGTCACCCTGTGCTTCCAGCCCTCACGGGTGGGCACAGAATAGCTCTTTAGATCAGAGTGAATCAGATCCAGAGGCGCTCCAGAACGATGACCAGTTGAAGGAAACAGGCCAGCATTCAGCTTGCCAAAGAGGCATGGCTCACAGATGGGGTCTGGCTTCCTAGCAAAGGCAAGCCTCACACCAGTAACCAGCTCTTTATCCATGACTAGCTTGGTATCACTGTGGTGTCCAAGCCGCCTGTGCATCAGGCTGAGGTCAATGGGAAGAGTCCCAGCTGTAGAGACCAGTGCTGAACCAGCAGAAGGGAAACCAGTCTCTCTCACAAATGCCTGGCCCTGCTCTGAGATATCTGCCACAAAGTACACTTCACCATTGCGCTTGAACAGAATGTAGTTCTCCTTCATGAGCACAGTGTAGTCATGGTGAACTGACAGGTATGTAGTAGAGATCAGATTGTGTGACAGAGCAGGGACATAGAGCACATTGGAGAGGATGACAGACCGGCTCCTGGCATGTCCATGGATCAGTGGCCTAAGCACTATCTCCCCCACAAGCTCTGAATAGACCACAAGTCCATTAGCCACTCTGATGGGTGCCCTATGAGGACGAGTGTTCTGCAGCAGGTGCACACAATGGGTCATGTGTGATGTAGCACCAGAATCTGCAATCCATCGCAGCTCAGGGTCTGCAGTGGAGTGGGAGAGAAGGCTTGTATGAGTGGCCACTTCAGACTTTACTGCACCCTTTCTAGCCTTAGGCCTAGGCCTAGGCTCAGGCTCTGGCTCAGGCTCAGAAGCATTGTCCTCTAGGAGAGACAAAAACTCTGGGCATTTTAGGAGTGTTTGGCCATGTTGATAACAGGCATAACACAATGGCTGAGCAGAAGCAGGTGCAGCTGCCAGGGCAGCAGAAGGAGAAAAGACTGATGGATGAGAGTGGGAATTTGATGCCATGCTGTGCTCAAAAATGCGCCCAGAATGATGTAGGGGATGTATCTATGTAGGTGCAGGCTCTCAGGAGTGTGTTGATCTCAGGCACCTAGCTGTCTCAACCTCAGGATCACAGGAATGACTACCTGGTGTTTCCTGATGGACCAAAGAGCACACCCACTTAAGGATAGAGTCCCAACTACTAGTGCCTGAACCACAGACACTATAAGAGCAGAAAAAAAACAGAACAGAGGGGAGCAGAGATGTCAACTGCAGTAGCAGGACTGGGGCAAGCAGGTAGCAGCAGGCAGAGAAAATCAGAGAATGAAAAAAAAACTCGAAAATCTCAGAATAGATGACTCAGAGGCACTCTAGAGGCCGGGGCCCATAACCTGTTGAAGCAGAAAATGCAGAGAGGACTGGAGTCAACAGTAAGAAGCTGAAGAACTCCAGGGAGGCAAGAACTATCTATGTGGATAGAGCATGTGACTGTATAGAAACCATGTGACTTGGAGTTATGTGACCAGAATAATGGAATGATGGGAACAGTGATAGAATCAGATATCATTAGTGATATAATCAGATGGAATCAGATGATCATGTGACACATTCACCAGAGAGTGATCAAGTCCAACACCCATTCTCAACAGATCAGACAAAAGCAGGGGTTATCTTGACATCACCCCCCCCTTTGATTGCGGTGCCTCAACGCAAGACACGGTTGGGGGTTGATGAGTCCCTGAAGGGCAGCGAGTTGAATATGGCCATTGCGATGACGCGTGGCTTCCCAGGGTATCTGTGTTGAACTCAGAAAACACAGATGGGAGCCACAGGAGGCTAGGAGCACAGATAGGAGACAAAAAGCCCAGTAGGTTACATTGATCTGATGCTTTATACTATGCATCACAGAGTAATGTCACACTCTTTGTCTGAACCAAGCACATACAATATCCACACATCAACAATCTGTGGTAAAATGCTGACACTGTGTCGTCAGCAAACACATCTGAGTGCTTGACCCACTGGTCATAAGACGGGTTATTGTGACAATTATCAAGAGATAATGTCGAAAAGAGAAGTGAATTCGAAGACTGGAGAATACAACCAAGTAGCTACAGTATTTATACCCAAATCCAGTCTGAGTCATATCTACAACTAATGAGTCGTAAAGCTATGTACCGCATGGTGCACTAGTCATGGGTTGTAGTATATTCTTCTGGAGCATATGTCGTGCAGCCTTGGATCAATAAAGATAATCCTTGGAACCCCTAGCCTGGACTGTCTGATGCTGTGATCCGTGATAAGATAAGTCATGCCAAGATAAGATGAGATCGTTGATGATAAGATGAAAAAGTGGCCGAACTATGACATTACCCTCTCTCTAGGGTCGATGTCTGTTGGAGCATGTGTTGATAAAATGGCTGAACCAGGAATTGAACCTGGGACCTCTGACTTGGATCGTCCAGTGCTCTAACCACTGAGCTATTCTGCCTTGGTGCTGGGATTCCCAACTCCAACAGCATGGGCCCCGAGAACTATCAGCAGAATAGCTCAGTTGGTTAGAGCACTGATTGCACTTATCAGAGGTCCCAGGTTCAATTCCTGGTTCAGCCATTTTACCAACAATGCGTTCCATTTGTCTGTCTGTGATTGGATGATATGCGGTCCCTAGATTCATTTCCACGCCCAACATCCGATTCGTCTCCTTCATGAAGCCCTTGATGTAACGCAAATCTCTGTTGGTGATGATCTTGCGGGAGATTCTGTGGTAGCGGAAGACTCAGTCCCTGGTTAATCGTGCAACTCCTTCACTGCTGATGTCAGTACTAATTGGTTTGACATGTATCATTTTGGTGAAGGTGTCACACCACACGTGAATTGCATCATACCTGTTACTGACCGGTAGGGGTCCGATTTGATCCATGGAGATGATTCCCCACAGCGCATTTGGGACTGCATGCGGGTGCAAAGTCCCTGTCCTTGCTCTCCTGGTCTTGGTCCGTTGGCACGTCTTGCATGTCTGGATGTATTTCCGAATTTGGTTTCCCATCCTTGGCCACCAGTAGTTCCTTTCCATCATCTCCTGTATTCGGTTGATCCCAGCATGTCTGACCAAAGGCGTGTCGTGGTGTAGCCCAATGATCTTGTCTTGCAGTTCCTCGTCTCTTGGTATGTAGAGCTTCCCATGGTACGTGATGAGTCCGTCTTCCTTTTACCATCCAGCGAGTGACTTCTCTAAGGCCGCCTTGACGCTTCCATCAATTGACCAAGTGGCCTTGATCTCATCAATTAGCTGCTGATTCTGCCCCTCGAATGTGACTTCTTGTGATCGAAAGAACTCAGGCTTCAGTAGCGTGACATCTTTGTTGTTGTTCTTGCCTTGATCGTGATCTGCTCGTCGTGATAAGAGGTCTGCTTTGCGGTTGAGAGCGCTGGGCCGGTGTCATAAGGTGAAATCGAATTCCACCAATTCTGTGATCTATCGTGCTTGCCGTCGATTGAGCTTTTATGGCTTCCGGAAGTACTTGAGGTTCTGATGATCAGTGAAGATCTCAAACGTTTCTGTGGCCCCCAGGAGCAGCTGCCTCCATTCGTCAAGCAATAGCATGATTGCAAGCATTTCCTTGTCATAGATCTCGTAATTTCGCTCAGTTTCAGTCAATGCGTGTGAAATAAATGCAATTGGACGCCAAATGCCGTCTTGGTTTTGGCTCAAAACAGATCCTGTTGCCCCTTCCGAAGCATCGGCTTCTAGACGATATTGGCCAGTGTCATTTGACAGTGCTAAGACCGTATCCTCCGCAATTTTCTTCTTCAACCCATCAAATGCTGCTCGCTCATCTGTATCCCATGACCATCCTGCCTTCCCTGTCAGCCGTGTCAACAGCTTGGCAACCTTTGCATATCCCCGGACGAAGTGTCGATAGAAGTTGGTGAACCCTAGGAAGGCTTGGACTTGTTTGACGCTTTTTGGTTCAGGCCATTCCATCACGCCCTTGATCTTGACTGGGTCCATCCGCATCGAGTTGTGTTGAACTCAGAAAACACAGATGGGAGCCACAGGAGGCTAGGGGCATAGATGGGAGGCAAAAAGCCCAGTCTGTCACATTGATCTAGGGCTATGTACTGATGGTCACATAGCTAAGTAACACTCTTTTGTCTGAACCAAGCAAGACATCCTTTTTACACTTCAACAAGTTGTGTCCAATGATTACACCTAGATACTCAATCTCTGTGCATTTGAACTCGCACTTTTCGGGTTTCAGGTAGAACTTGTGTTTTTGGAGCAGTTCGAGTACTCACTTCGTGATCCGCCGATGTTCGTTCAAGGTTTCTGTGAAGATCAGTATATCGTCAAGATAAACTACCACATGACCCTCGTTGATGAGTTCCCAGAGTATGTCGTTCATCATGTTTTAAAAGGTCGCCGGGGAGTTTGTGAGGCTGAAGAACATAACCAAGGGCTCGTACAGCATGCGGTTTATGCAGAACGCAGCCTTCCACTCATCGCCCTCTTTAATCCGTACATTGTGTTGGAGTTGGGAATCCCAGCACCAAGGCAGAATAGCTCAGTGGTTAGAGCACTGGACGATCCAAGTCAGAGGTCCCAGGTTCAATTCCTGGTTCAGCCATTTTATCAACACATGATACAACAATGTGTTGATAAAATGGCTGAACCAGGAATTGAACCTGGGACCTCTGATAAGTGCAACCAGTGCTCTAACTAACTGAGCTATTCTGCCGATAGTGCTTGGGGCCCATACTCCAACAGTATCCCCATCGGATATCTAGCTTCGTGAAGAACTTGGTGCCACAGAGGTTATGAACCAGTTCAGAGATCAGCGGCAGCGGGTACCAATTTCGGATTGTTATCTCATTCAGCTTCTGATAATCTTGGACAGGTCATAGCGAGCCATCTTTCTTCTTGACAAAGAAGAACACTGATGCCATAGGTGATTTTGATGGCCTGATCCATCCGCTGGCCAGGTTCTCTTGTAAGAACTCGTCAAGTTTGACCTGCTTATTTCGCAATAATGGGTACACCTTGCAGTCCACTGCTTTGGAATCCGGTTTGAGCTCAATCACGTGGTCCCATGCTCGTCAGTCCAGTAGTGAGTCAAACGATTCCTTGGCAAATACTTTGACGAATTCCCAATATTGATCCGGAATCTTCCCCTCAGTCATTCTCTCTTTCTCCTTTTCTGCCTCTTCTGCAAATTTCTGTGCCGGCGTTTCCTTCAGCCGCAGATCCACTTCCTTTCCAAAGTTGACCAACAGGATTGATTCTCCCTCTTCCATATCCGGTGCGTCCGTGTCCAGGTTGATTGCATCCATGTCGATCATTGCTTGATGTTCCTTGTGACCCCTCATATGACACTGCTCTGGGCATCGACTGAATCTCATTGTCTGTTCCTGCCAATCTACCTCGGGGTTGTGTTCCATCAGCCAATTGAGCCCAATGAAGATCCGAGCTTTCCCTAAACACGTTAGAAGGAACGTGTGTACCTCCACATGAGGGCCAATTCTCATTCTCAGGTTGACGTAATGCGTGTTTTGTCCGCTGATGTTCTCGGTGTCGTCAGCGTTACAAGCCACGATGGGTTGCGGAAGCTCTTGGATATCCAACTTCTCTGCCCACGTGTAGTCGGTATCAATGCAGCAGGTACTGCAGCCACTATCCAACAGTGCTTTGACTCTGCACATTTTCCCCGAGTCCAGGCCTGTGATCTGGACATATACGTCCATGGAATGCCTCTTCCTTTTGGCCTGGTAGTTGTGCAATTCCTGCGCCAGTCTGCTGGGCTGGGGCCCTTTCTGTTTCTCGGCCGCCAATTTTCTCTGGACGGCATCTAGCACCCTGGTGCGTTTGGGTGCTTCTGGAACCTTGATTTCAGCAGATTCCTTAGGCGCTTCCTCCCTTTTCCAGGATTGACCCTCCAGAGCAATACTCCCCTTTTTGGTCTTTGTTGACGTGGTTTCTTCTCCACAACCCATAAATACGTAGGAGTCCAAAATTAATTTATCCACAGCTTTCTGATCCTTTTTACTCTGTAAATACTCTCTATTTAAAGCTATTTTTCTTTGGCGTTCCTTTTCCATATCGGCAATGAGAAAGTCATGAATATTGGTACATAGTGAGTCCGAGATTGTGTATGTATGTGTAGAATCGTTCATGTCTTTAATCGAAACAAGTACAGAAAATTGTCCATAGTCCGGACGCTCCACCTCCTTGGCTAGAGGAGTGGAGCGCTTCAAAAACCCTTCTCGCGCAGCTTCTCAGTGATCTCCTTGAGGAACTCGTTGTCCTTGTCCCCGTTCTCGATCTCTTCAAGCATCGTGGCCCGATTGAAGAATGTGCGCTTCTTCCTTGGTTCCGGGCAGTTCCGCGCAATGTGCCCAGGCTGCTGACAGTTGTAGCAGATGATATTGCGGCCGCGGGCGTGGGTGCGATCAATTTCCATCGGAACCGGTTTGTTGGCAGCAGGTCGGGCCGGGGCGGGTGCAGGTGTCATTGGGGTTACCTGCGGGCGGAATTGGGGAGGCGGTCGTGGTGCGGAGTGCGCATGCGATGCTTTGCGCAGCTGATCGCGTAGAGTGTTTGCCTCGATGTTGACACACCAGTCCTTGAAGGCGCCATACGCCTTGGGCAAGGGGACACCCGTGTTGTAGAGGCGACTTGCGATCTCGCTGCTTAGTCCACGCTCGAGGAATTCGATGAGGATGTTGTCCTGATCCCCCTTCTTGTACTCGCCCTTGCTGTCGGTGGAGGTGACCACGTTGTACCCCGCGTCCGCAGCCAGCATCTCGAAGTTGGAGATATAATCTGCAAAGGATCGTTTATTCTGGCGCAGGGCCATGAGCTGAGCGGCGGCAACTTGTTCCGCGTTGGAGTCCCCAAAAGCCCTTTGAAGCTCCTCCAAGAAGGTCGCCGAGGTGACCCCAGCCTTTATTCCATTAAGGCTCTTGAAGTTGCGCTGCTTCCAGTTCATTGCCCATCTCGAGGCAGCGCAGCTTGTGCCAGCCTCGTTGCGGAGGTATGATAGGATGAAGAGGATTTTTGTCTCATCCTGCGAGAATTCCGACCGATAGGCACCAATATAGGTGGTGCACGAATCCACGAAGCCCATATATTTGGACTTGTCCCCATCGAAGTATGGGGGGTTGGCGGCGAGGGTGATGCGGTGGTGTCCTGACATGGTAGGAGCAGGCGTGGTAGATGGGGGCGAGGGTGGTTGTTCGGAGGGTAACTCGTCAAGGTCGGGGATCTCGTCTTCAGGCGGCGGGAGGGCGAGGTAAGGAGTAGAGGGCCCGGGTTGGTTTTGGTACGCCAGATCGAGCGAAGAGGGTACGATGGGGGGAGGAGACGGGCTCCCAGACGGCGATGGGAATTGGAACGAAATGGTGGATTCGTGTGCTGTACAAGCACTCGAGGGAGGGTTCTTTTGCTAGCAAAAAGATCCTGGGCCTAGCTCTTTACGTGCCCGATGATCCCGAGGTGTGTTTTCCCGAAGGTCTCCGCAGCACTCCTTGTAGCTACTGTAAGGCTTGGGTCGGGCTCAACGTTACCTGTGGCCTGGTGCTGTTTGCTCAATATGAACCCTTCACTGCAATTGCAGAGGACAACTAGATGATTTGGTAAAAGGGTGAGTGCAATGATAAGGGTGTAGAGGATATAGCAGGCGTAGCGGTGAGGGATGCAGGGGTAAGAGGTATGAGGTAGGAGGGTATGAGGGGAGTCTTCGAATTATGTGACAATCAACAAGAGATAATGTTGAAAAGAGAAGTGAATTCGAAGACTGGAGAATACAACCAAGTAGCTACAGTATTTATACCCAAATCCAGTCTGAGTCATATCTACAACTAATGAGTCGTAATGCTATGTACCGCATGGTGCACTGGTCATGGGTTGTAGTAGAACCTTCTGGAGCATATGTCGCGCAGCCTTGAATCGATAAGGATAACCCCTGGAACCCCTAGCCCGGACCGTCTGATGCCGTAATCCGTGATAAGATGAGATCGTCAAAGATAAGATAAAAAGTGACCGAATTATGACACTTTTCTGCCGACATAGTGAAAATGTGCGTGTTGGCTAATCAAGCTGCGGCGCCCAGCCCTCTTAAACGTGGGAAGCTTGCCCAGCAAGACACTGAAGATGAGGCTGAACAGAGCCCAAGTAAAAAGAGACGAGCTGCTTCTGGTATCTATTGAATGGCGTACTTTGTGTATGTGACTGCGGAACATGTATTGTAATCTATGTGTCTAATCCGTGTACTGAGCAAGGCACTATTGCTGATGCAGTCGGCACTTTCTAGTTGTTCCATGGCAGTGATATCCCATCATCATCAGTTACCTGTCACAGCTGACTATATAGTGTGACACCTGGGCACATAGATCCTTGAACCATTCTCTAAGGTCCCCCTCTGTGCTTAGGTGAGTAGCATACATCCCTTGTCTTGTATTTGATAGTCTCTAAGGATCCCCCTCTGTGCTTAGACTCATGTGAGGTTGTTATGTACTATATGCTCTCTTCCTTTGGGCTGGCAGGAGTTGCCCTTACATTCAGTATACATTGCGCTCAAGTCAAAAGGTCATGTCTTTGGACCTGATCTGATGATATTTTGAGTAAAAATGGATACTCAAGTCATTAATGAAACAAAAAGATGCAAAAAAGCTCTGTATTTGTACAATACTATGTACTCAAGATGAACTCCATTAGGGGCTGTTACCAAAAAGGCAGGTCATGAGATGTGTCCGGGGGTGGGGTTGACGGGTGGATCGTTTTCCTTAGTAAATCTAGTGCTATTATGGTTAGCGTTGGACTGCTCTTGTGCCGGAACTTGACAACAAGCCGCTTACATCACATAAACACATTGGGACAAGAACAATTTATGAGAGGCAAAAAGTTATCAAAAATCCAGGTTCGGACTGGTTCGAACCTGTGGGAGCCACAACCAAACCACCAGTGTAGTCCAGGTTCAGACAAAGCACCAAACCTCAATCGAGGTTGTGTTCAGGGTTCATAATTTTGTACAAAAATCAGACCGAACCCGACTGCGGCAGTGAATGCACTTTGATCAAGTCATGATGCACATAAAGCAGTAACATATCATACAGAATCATAAATGTAGGCCATCTACTGACGTGCTCGCTTCGGTTTCCAGACCCCTGGCTTTTCGACAGTGGTGAATCCTTCATCATCAGTCTTCACGATCTTGGCTGGATCCGGAGCGGGGGATGCAACCCGCACGGGTGTGGCAGCACCGCCAGTTCGGCCAATGGACCCACCCGCAGTAGCGGCATTGCGACGGAAGGCACCAGGCGTGTATTTTGCAGGGCCGCCAGGAGCGGGACTCTCTGCTCGGACCGGAGCTGTAGGGGTTGTCGGTGTTGTCGTGGTTGTTCGACGCCATGCACCGCCACCAGTGCTATCCGTAACGGTGGCTGTGCGGAGGGGTAGTCCTTCCCGCGCAGTAGGAAAGATGGGTTTCCTGACGGATGGCGTCGGGACGACCTTTTCCTGTGATCGAGCGAGACGACGAGCCTCAGCCTCTTCTTCGCGCTGGGCGCGGAGGCGGACTTGCTCCATGTCGGCTGCGCGCTGCGCCTCACGTTCTTTGCGAACGGCGTTAGCTTTGTCTTCGGCTTCACGTTTCGCAGCTTCTTCAGCTGCAGCTGCGGCTTCGGCTTCAGCCCGACTCCTTGCCTCATCCGCCAGACGAGCTACAAGAGATGAGCCAGAGTGACGAAAGCCGAAAACAAGACTTGCCTTCTTCCTGTTGCCGTTCCAGCTCAATCCGAGCTTCCTCGGCCCTGCGACGCTCTTCTTCCAGCCTGCTTTCTTCTGCGCGCTTCGCTTCAATGGTAGCACGACGTTTGGTTTTTTCCTCGTCGATCTTCTTCGAAGCAAGTGCCTTTTTGCGCTCGAAATCTGCCCGACGTTTATTGAGCACATCGTCTCTCCGCTTGGAAAACTCAGCGGCCATGCGGCCAAGACGATTCTTTGTGGCGAGATCTTCTTCGTGACGGGCTTTGCTTTCCTCCTTGCGGGATTGCTGAAGAGCGGTGAACACCGCCAAGTCAGTGGACTGTTGAGCCTCGTAGTCTTGCTCGTGTAGCGGCTGTTCAGCCTTGCGGTAGGCACGCTCAGTGTGGTCGATTTTTTTCGTGAGCGTACGCAGTTTAGTTGCCAGTTCCTTCTTTTCCTTCTCGAGATGAGTGATTTGCATAGTGATCAATGACGTCGTGTCCATGTTCTCCAGGGCCTCATCGCCTTTCCGCATGACACCCTTTTCCACAAGAGCCGTTCTGACACGACGAGCTTCTTCTTGCTGTACTTCCTCTCGAACCTTTTCCCGGCGCTCAGCTTCGCGACGACGCTGGTCCTCCTTCACACGGCGTTCTTCCTCCTCTTTCTCTTTGCGGGTAATGTCGGCCTGCCGCTGAGCGCTCTCTTTCTGCCGACGAACAGCGAGCTCCGTAAGCAATTCGCGCCGGCGATGAGTGAGCGACCGATAGATCATCAAGTCCTTGCGTTCCTTCTCTACTGCAGCAGAAAGCGCGGCAAATCGTGTCTTCTGCAGGTCAGGCTGTTCAGCGACTGTATCGATGACACCCAGGGCCCGATATAAACAATTGCCAACGTTGCTTAAACGGGTGCGGACAATGGACGAGATGCCGGGTTGAACTTCCTCGATCATCACTTGGCTCGTGCTGGCACCCGAGTTGAAGACCGCAGACGATACAGGATCTTCATTACCCAGCTCGAATCCACCATCAACAAACTCGATCCGTCCAGCTGCATGATCGATGCGAACGCGTACTCCGTTCGGAAGCTCGCCTCGCCGAGCACAGGAAGTGATAATTCCATCCAAAGTCGTCTCCCCAGATTTCGTCGGTGTGCTCTCGAACAGAGGCGCAACCAGATCACGGACCCAATGGATTTCCACGTCGCTGTATACCTCGGCCAGCTGACTGAACAAACGACTGACAACAGCCCGTCGAAGCAGGGGAACATATGCAGAATACTCCGAAAGAACTTCCTCAGTCTGAAGAAGAGAGAGAAGGGGGGCGATGCGAATGGGTAAAGTGAGGGGATCGAATGTGAGGTATTCCTCGTCTTCATTTCCGGTGGAAGGCGCACCCTCTAAAACGGCGTACAATTGACGGACAATACTAGGTGCGTTCTTGAGTGCACCGCGGGAAAGTGCATCCTTTAACAGGCTTGCACGCGACGGCGGATTGGGCAAGGACAACAACGCGGGAAGACGTTCGTCGGAAATCGAAGTGGTAGCTGCAGAGGGATCAGGATATGCGAACGAACAACTTGAACCAGAACACACCAGCTGAAACAGGCACAGCCAACGCACTGATGAGCACGAGACCAGCAAGACGTGGCTCGTCCATCTTGAATCCCTCCGTCGCAGAAGGCGCGGTGATTGTGACGGAGTGCAATCGGCCCCACGCAGCAGCATGGTAAAGGGCATTACCGCTTACGAGAAACACGCGTGAAAGCTGCTCGTAGTAGGCCGCCAGAACACCAGGTTTTAGCACCTGCTTTCTGCCCGCCGCACCGCCAGCGCCTCCTCCCAACGTCAGAAGATGGTGAATGTCCTCTGCCGCTCGAAACGCCTCGGCCCATAACTCCAACTGAGAGGATACTGTCAACTGACGGAAACGGGTATCCAGATGATGTTGAAGGGTCTCCGGGTCCGCCAAGTTGATGGCATGGGGCTGATGCGCATATTTGGCGGTATGGGACAGATGCAGACGGAGGGTATCGCAAAGACGACGGAACTCCAGCGGTCGCTTGTAGTTTAGGCAGAAAGTAAGCGCTTGTTGCGCGATCGACTGATTTGATACCGGATGAGCCATCGGAACGAAAGTTTAGCTCAGGACAGACCTGGTAGATAGCCTCCAGCCGTGCGTTGTTCTTGAGGGTCTCCAGCGAGGTTCGGTAACTCTCCCAAAGGAACTTGAGCCAGGGTGTCACCAAAGCACGATCCGTGCGATCTTTGCTCTGGTCACCGCTGACAGCGCCCAGCAAGATGCTCTCCGGCGTCTCACTCGCCTCCAGATCATCCACATCCACATCCACGGCACCCGCTGCTTTCTCCCTCTCCTCCTCGTGTGCTCGAGCGCGTTCCTGTGCATCTCGCACTTTTTGGTCTGCCAAAGAGACGAATCGCATGACGACAACTTCGATGCTCCCTACGCTTGTATTCTGGGCGATATTCTTATATTGCATCAGCCCCTCCTTGGCCGTCCTCCCTTTGCGAGTCTCAACGCAGAGTTCGATGAATCGAAGCATGATGGGCTCTAGCGATGCCAACGGTGTGGATCGAAAGCGTTTAGAACCGAAGAGTTCAGTGAGAGACTGTATGGCGGCATGCGTCTGGCCGACAGCAACAAGGCCCTCGGCCTGCTTGAGAACGGCTTCCGGCTTTGAGAACGGCGCCATCGTGAATGGATGCGAAAATCTGTGTGTGTGGCTCTTTGTGTGGTCTAGTACAGTTGTCAAGCAGAGTCAAATACGGTATTGATCTCCTCTACCACTTTTCATGGCGATGCGAGTCGTACACAAGGCATACATACACAGTGCAGAATAATAAAAGATAAGGTATCAGAAGAAATCAAGCGCAAGATGACTCTCATAATCACAAAAAAGAAAGACGATGGGCCAACCGGTCACTGTATATACTAATGTCGATCAGCGTAAGGAGGAGGTAATTCCCGCACTGTACCAGCATCTTCATGCTGGATGATGATTTCGGGACCGCCAAGGGAAACCGAGCGAGTGGGTAGACGGACGGTCCTCTCAACGGCCCTGACGCCACCCGTCGTGACTGCTGCGGATTGACTGCGTCCGATTGCAGGTATGGTATGTTCGGGCCTAGTGTAATACTCGGAGTCCATCGAGATGCTCGTGGGAAGGCCTGCCTCGATTTCCTTGGCAGAGCGCCGGACCGACGCTGTCGGAAATCCGTTCAGAGCAGGCCTTCCAGGACTTCGGGTGGGGAGACCAGAGCCCGTCCCAGAGTCGGCCGAATGTACCGATTCAGTATCATTGACAAGCTGCCGCCTGTCGAGTGAAGCCGGAGTTATGACACTGAGACGCGAGGGCGAGATAGTGCTCAATCCATCTGGCGAATGCGGTGCACTGGACGAGCTATTGATGAACGAGGTGATCGAAAGAATGTGTGAGCCCGTTTCTTCAAATGGATTTTGAGAGGCGCTTCCAGCTTCAAATCTTGTCGGAGCTCTTGCTTGTGCAGTCAGCATGAACTTTCGCCGGCGCCAAAACAGGAAGGCTGCAATTGCGCCAAGCGCAAGTAACACCAAAAGCGTAGTAACCACACCTGCGACTACAAGTGTGTGCTGTTGGGTCCTGGCTACGTTCAAAGCAGCCTTTTGCTGCGCTTGAATGGCCGCAGCGTGACCAGGAACACTGTTCAAACCAGGGCAGTCAGCGTTTGTTGACCCAACAGTCGTCACGATCGGTGTCCCTGTAGCCCAACGGCCATTGCTGCTCAAACATATGAGCATGTAGCAGATAAGCATACTCAGCAAACATACACATCGCTCACAGCGGCTAAGCACAGGGGCCGGTTAATGGGTCTGGACCAAGGTTGGCTAAGATGTGAAACTTACCGATGAGTTTCGACGCAGGCTCCGCCCGATTGATATACGTGAATTGGTCGAAGTTCGGCCCTTGCGAGGGTTAGGAATCGTTGACAGCAAGAGAGAATCGGAGCTTACCCATAGTTACATTGGTGATTACGGGGGAGTTGAGCGCGGCGATTGTGATATTGTATGGTGGCTGCCCACCAACAATCGTCAAGCCCCACGGCGCACAAGTCGCTAAAGAATCGGTGACGTTTGCGGTCACAGTAAATGCAGGCTCCGTAGATGCAGGCGTGCTGCACTGTGTCGTCGATCCTGCTATCGCCTCAATTTCAGCAGGCACGTCTGCAAGTAAAGGCAAGAACAACTCACCAACCACTTCATACAATAGCGGGGGGACGCCTCCTGAGCTCCCAGTCCCGTCAAAGACAGTCAGCAAGAGCTTCGTGCCGATAGGCTGATCTACGGTCCATGACAAACTCGAAGCATTGCTGCCGATTGGAGTGACGCTGGGGGTGCCACCGATAGCGAAAACACCCATGAAATACGGCGGGATGCCTAGACTCGTTTCCGAAGTATTGATGTGCACATTGCGCAGGATATTGATCGGGATAGAACGACAACTCGGTAGCTCGGTGGACAGATCCTCAACCTCCGTCAGGACAAGCTGACAGAAAAATCCAAACCACGACGTACCGGCCCACCAAAACCCCATGCAAACACCTTGTTGGCATCCTCTGCGCGACATGGGGTCAAAAGACAAACGAAGAGCAAGATCGTCAAAAGCGTGGAGATGTGGCAAGACTGCATGGTGGTTCGTATGCGCCGAAGTGAGGGTGAAAAGTCCAAAGCCGTGCCGAAAGACAAAAGTTCAATGGAAACGGCACCGGGCCCTGACTGTTTGCGACTAGCGCTCTGTATCCGAGGATAGGTAAAAGAGTTTCTCAGGCGGACAGAAGCCCGAGAAGTACGGCGGACCTTGGAAGACATAAGAGATACCGGCTCTGGCGAGAAAGGGGAGGAATGAAAAGAACGGAAAGAAGCCCTACGACACCAATGCAACCGAGCGGTGACTGGTAGACCAGCGAAAGGAGGTCGTGTTACATCTCATGTCCCAACAAGGATACCATCAAACTCTTGTCGGGATCCAAAACCCCTTGGGACTCGAATCAATCCTCTCTGCCAATCGCAATCTCACTCGCAGCCGAAATGAAGATGTCGAAACATATTCTGTTGTCACCTGGAGGAATATCTCTTTGAAAGTATCGGTAGGTATCGGTGCTACATCAGACCATTCAAGTCTGGAGTTTTGGTAAGGCATCAACGCGCGCTTTGCACTCGACGGTTACGTATTCTAGGCATGACAGCTGTGCCTGACGCTGTCAGATTCTGATACTTCAAATCTGTCTCGAGTCCCGTTGGATGTCTGTGATTTGCTGGCCTTTGGAGGCTACTGAGCAGCAGCTTACTTGAGACTTTCTAGTCGCTTGGGTGGATCCCACGGATGGCCAGCGGGCACAACTTGAATGGCGGATTGGTGATTTGTTCGCTAACGAAACAAAATGAGTTACGTGGCGCCGCCCGTTCTTCAGGGATCATGATACAACATTCAGGCCAATGTGATGGATGATGATCTTTCCTACGCAAGTGCACGTTGAAGGTTGACGCTCGAAGCTTGAAGTTGAAATACTTGGGAAACACGGTAACGTGATCTTGTACATGACACGTCACGTGCTAAACATCAAAGACGACATCTGCCGGCCTAAAGGCAGTATTTCCAGGCCATACACTGACGGGCACAACACACTCAACCATCTCCGCCTTGACCTCCGACCAGCCGATCTCACTACCAGCATAACGGACACCAACACCGACGCCGCCGGCCGGATTCGGCTTTACGCCATCGTACGGACCATCACGTTCGTCGCCATCCTGGTCGCCGTCATGATATCTTCCCTCGCCAGAACCCAGCAGACTCGCAGTCAGGAATGCCGCCCAACTGGTTGCCGTGGGAATTTTTTCTGATTCGGGCGGCAAGCGCTGCAGCACAGCCATCTTGTCTGGGGCTCGCCACGAAGAGCCCCATGCTCCGGAATTGTGGTCGGGCTCTCGCTCAAGCGCAGTGACTCGCATGCCTTCCGTGCCAAGATCACTCTGCTCAGAGGACACAGCCACAAGCAGGCACAGCCGCACCTTCCATTCGAGGCCCCCTGCTTTGCGATCCCAGACGATATCAAACGCGGGACTTCCGTCGCTGGGGATGTCCAGGGCAAATCCCAATCTCAAAGTCCCCAACACGAATCGGGCGTGATGTTCAGCATGGACCCGTCGCGTCGTCGCAAGTTCGGGGAAGGATTCGTGCGCTTCGAGCAGGGCAGTCAGCTGTGCGGCATTCGTCAGCGGGTGTATCATTGCAGGAACGGAGACAACCTGAAGGACTCGCCCACGCCCGTTTCTCCAGTTAATCTCTACCACACCATTCACTGTCTCGCCCAACCGATATGCACTCTTCGGGAATGTCAAAACAGCGACAGTGACCCCGTCCTTCGTTATGTCATAGGAAACCTTTCGCAGATTGCGTGTCAGTTCCTCGACAGCCTGTCGGCATCCCATCTGAGGCCCAGAGTCTTCAGATGGAAGTGTGGCCGTGAGGAGCTTTTGCGCGTATCTCTGCAGGTCTGCTTTATTGCCATGTTCCTTCTGCTCCGGAGTATTTTGATCAGGGCCATGTACAGACGGCTTGGGCTGAGAGGCTGATACAGGCCACATCAAATCGTACGGCTTCGGTCGGCGCCCCACTGAATGTGTTAAGCGATGGAAGAGCGAACGTGTCAGTCTTACCGCGGACATGATTATAAACGCGTATAGGCACCTTCATCACCCTTGAAACATTGCCCGGACGGCACACACCGACAACCAACTCGTAAGAGAACCTCACTGTCCTACCCTTGAAAGTAGGCGGCATATTCTCCGGAAGATTGATGGTGTATTTGTCTGCGGCCTGCGGTCAACATCTGTCTGCTCCATCGAACAGCAACTCACAGCTCCTCGACTCGCCTGGTCCTAGCTTGAGATCAACCGCCAGCATTTCGGGCCGGATATCCAGCGTCGGTAAAGGGGTGTCGCCCTCATCTTCAGCACCCCAGATCGCTCGCATCAACGAATTCGATCTGCGATGTCTTGTCTGGGTAGCGCCGCTGAGTCCCGCTGCTGATGCTGCCTGTGTACTTAGGCTGCCTCCGCCTCGCATAGGCGGAGCCAGGGCCGCTCGCAGAGCGACTAAACCTGATGTCATGGGTCCGCCCTGCCCAATTACTACCCGACCTGCGAGGGAGGCATACGTGTACAGCACTTCAGCCTGACTTTTCCTCGCTGGAGATGAAGGATGTCCCTTGCCCAGTGACGCTCGTTTCCGTACAGGAGACTCTGCAGAATCAAACTCCGATATCGGCTCGAGTGCTAGCGAGAACGTGGAGCTCGAGGCCGACGCAGGGGCGCTGACAGGTGAATTAGAGACTCTTGTTGTCGTTATGATCTGTTGGCCATCCAGTAACGACACCTTACGAGCATGCGGGTGCGATGCAGCCAGTGGCAGAGTGTCTGAACGGCGAGAGATGGGAGCTGTACAGATTTAGTCAGTCAGCTTAGTGCAGAATAGCAACGTACAGACAACTTCCGATATGGCACCCGGTGGGGAATGCGGCCCAGAGTCCAAATCACGATTTGGCCTCTCCGAGAGCGAAATGCTAACAGACAAACTCTTTGCTAGCATCTTCTTCCTCCTCTGCTCCACAAGCCCGGGTATCCTCTGTTCCTCCGGTGTAGTACGCCCAATGACACCTCGCCTCCTTGGCCGCCCATCTCCTTCTTCACTCGTTGGCAATGGTGTTAACTGCTTTCCTCGCGGCGTCGTCGGTGTCGTCGGATGCGCACTGGGACGCGGTGTCCCTGGCGACGTGGGCGGTCGTGCCAACGGTGCAGAGCTGATCGAGTAGGCATTCCTCTTGTGGACTTGTGTGTGTGCTCGAGCCCTCGATGTAAGGACGGGTGTATGTGTATCCGCTATGTGTGTATTCGTGTATGTAATCGTGACAGCAAAGGCTTCCCCGGCAAAGTACGAAGACTGAGAGGGAGTTACGGTAATCCGGATCGGGGTGTCCACGTCGGGCTTGGCCATCAGGAGGAGTATGCAGAGGGACTCCCAGGCGACTGGGAAATTAGCGTTGGATGGAATACAACACAGATTAGATGACCAAATCAGCCACAACAACGCGTCTCTTTCACTTCTCTTGAGGTCCATGGATTACTTCCAGTACGTCTGACCTCCCTTGACCTCCAGCTGACGTTTAATTCAAATCCTCAGGCCAACCTACTGGGCCAAGCCCACTACTTACGTCGAGGACGATCTCGATTTGAATCTCGACATATTACACCATCGCCCATCAAGGATCCAGCCCTGTGCAACAGCGCACTTTCACTGCACAGGCTCTCCTCCATGCTTGACGCCACCCAATCTGAAATCTTCTTTGCCTGCACTCAGTCCACCTTTCCCATTCGTGTCGTCAATTTCCTCTGCGTCGTTCCCTACATCGGTCACAGATTTTTCTTTCCCGCAATGGACACCTGTCCGGAGCTACGACCACCCCATTCACGAATCAGCCTCATCGTACATTTCTCCGGTTCTTCGTGCTCGTCCGGCTGTTACTCTTCCCAAATTCTCTTTGTTTGATCAAGCACCCTGCTCTGCGATGGCCGCGCATATATCTACGGGTTCAACATTGCTCTCCCCTTGCAAACTGGAAACCAGCTCCAAGACACTGTCTGATTTTGCTTTCAACTATAAATGCTCGTACTCCACGCCCCCTCAGCGCATAACACGATCGCAGACAAACGCACTGACGCCCCTAACGCCGTTAACACCTTCGCCGACTAAGAATCTCGGCCGTCAATCCAACAAACGCTTCATCATCAACGATTCTGACTGTGATTCACCGACCGCTAAGCGTGCAAAAGTCAATCCATCTCTACCTGCTTATAGCACAAGAACGCTTCCTTGTCCGCCTTTCGTGGTGTCTCAAGACTATCCACTGTTCTATCGTCGATTCCCTGCCAGCTCGTACTTTCAGTCTGTGGTTTTCTTATCCATATCAAGTTCATGCTTATTTGATGATCTACGCAGAGATGTGTTTATTTTCTCCAACCCAGGCGGTGAATACAATCCCCCTCGAAGTGCACTGGATCTTTATAGTCCTCGATTCGTCAAGGGTCGCGGCGCAAGCAAGGTGGGGCTTTGCCCGATTTGCGTGGAGCGCCGCGAACGTGGTGGGGAAGGAAAGAAAGTATGGCTGCCCATGAAAGTCTCCGCCTTCAAGTGTGTCTCCTCGTGTCTACCATTTCGGACAAACACTGAAACTAGCAGCTATCATATGCAGTACTATCACGGCATCTCAGCAGCAACGGGAAGACCCCTTTCTCCGCCAACGAATTTTCGTCTTGTCGGCCGTCCGAATCACAAAAAGGGCGAACGTTCATCCATACAGGAAGCAAAGTGTCATAAATGCAACAAATGGATCGTTGTACAAACAATAAAGGATATACCAGTCAAGGTCAGCAGCATAGCTTACATAAAAATTCGTAGACATGGGGCTTACGTTGTTAGGTTCCTGAACTATTTTGGTGGAAACATGCTGTTGGATGTCACAATGGCAGTGCTCTCCCAGGCGAAAAGGATTATTTTGAGAACGATGCTGTTTATCGCGTGCTCGTTGATGCAGATACTGGCCATGCCGTTTGAGCAACTCGATCCACCTTGAAATCACTGTATTATCTTGTACTTACTGCTCAAATGGCATTTGCAACGTTATCGCATTTTTCAAACCTCTATCTTATCTATAGCAAAAATCTATCAATAAGCACCTATTACTGTAGAGTTCTTTCCTCTCGCACTACTACGATGGTCCACGCTTTCACCCTCTTATCCCTTCTGTTTGCGGTTTTCCCACTCTCTGAATCCCATTCTCATCAACACCCATTGAATACTGAGCCATCCCAAACTTGGCTGGAGAAATACGGCAACCAGATCGACCAGCCATTCTCCG